TGTTGTGAACAATTAGACAAGCGAAACACTCTAACAGGTCCTTGAACTCTTAGAAGCGGTGACAAAATGTTGCGCTCCCGGGTGGGCTCGAACCACCAACCTTTCGGTTAACAGCCGAACGCGCTGCCGATTGCGCCACGGAAGCATGGCAGCTTTCCGGATATGCATACAGAAACGACAAAGTGCCTGAATTTTTGCTTCAGATAAAAGGTGTTGTGAACAATTAGACAAGCGAAACACTCTAACAGGTCCTTGAACTCTTAGAAGCGGTGACAAAATGTTGCGCTCCCGGGTGGGCTCGAACTACCAACCTTTCGGTTAACAGCCGAACGCGCTGCCGATTGCGCCACGGAAGCATGGCAGCTTTCCAGATATGCATACAGAAACGACAAAGTGCCTGAATTTTTGCTTCGGATAAAAGGTGTTGTGAACAATCAGACAAGCGAAACACTCTAACAGGTCCTTGAACTCCTAGAAGCGGTGACAAAATGTTGCGCTCCCGGGTGGGCTCGAACCACCAACCTTTCGGTTAACAGCCGAACGCGCTGCCGATTGCGCCACGGAAGCATGGCAGCTTTCCGGATATGCATACAGAAACGACAAAGTGCCTGAATTTTTGCTTCAGATAAAAGGTGTTGTGAACAATTAGACAAGCGAAACACTCTAACAGGTCCTTGAACTCTTAGAAGCGGTGACAAAATGTTGCGCTCCCGGGTGGGCTCGAACCACCAACCTTTCGGTTAACAGCCGAACGCGCTGCCGATTGCGCCACGGAAGCATGGCAGCTTTCCGGATATGCATACAGAAACGACAAAGTGCCTGAATTTTTGCTTCAGATAAAAGGTGTTGTGAACAATTAGACAAGCGAAACACTCTAACAGGTCTTTGAACTCTTATAAGCGGTGACAAAATGTTGCGCTTAAAATAATGACTTCTTACCTAGATACAAGTAAAAGTTATATGAAGTCACCTAGCATAATCAACTAACATTCCCTCCGAAATTATCGGATAAATTGGTTGGTTTTCCTTCCGTGCATGTCACAAGGAGGATCTACGATGTTGAGGGTTCGGTCTATTTTCGGGTTTTCACACATGCCTTCTCGTAGCAAATATGATGTGGCTGAATAAAATTTTGTCGTGCTTACCTATCGCACCGAGACAGGTACCTCTGTATTTCAGAAGGCGTGCATCATCGAGCTAAGTTGGATGTTGTCCTTGGACTCGAAATTCGTCCACACAAAATGGGGGTATGGCGACTCGGATTTCGGCTACTTCAGCGTGATCTATGGTAAACTATGAAGGCCGTTGTAGTCCTCCCAATCGTTTGTTCATTGGCACAATTTGCATCTTACTATTGGAAAAATATTTAATATTTTAGCCCCCCTTATTTTCTGTTGGTAGATGTTAGGGACCCCATAGATGATTGCAGCTTTGATATTTCTTTATAGTAATGATAGAAACTTAATAGTTCGCGGGAAGGAGCTAAAGAGCTCCGCCCTCAAAATGGTCCTGGAAAGACTCATGATGGCCGGAGTTCTTAAAAGGGAGTACGTATTTGACATTGATTCTGAGTAAAAGGGACCAGCAGGAAGCTGCATCATTTGCGAATTTCATGAACGAATTCCCCCGTTGATATCGCAGAAAATTAGGATGGACCTTTTGTGGTGTTTGTCAAATTATGGCTATTAATTTTCAGCGAACGACGAATAAATGAAGTGGTGGAGGAAAGACAGGAATTCTATGGATAAAGTACCAAAACAAAAATAAAGGCGGTTTCTATATCATCGAAGGCCGTAGCAAAGCAGAGGGGACCAAAAAATTTTCGAGAATTTTTGTTGAGCAGAAGTAATATTATGATATTGTTTGCTCCCGCCCAACCTCAAGATGCTCCCTTGCGAGGCAAACTAAAGTAGGAAATTGCTTGCAAAACTCTTACCTTCAAAAGCTCTTGCTCTCTCACATGATTTTTTCATAGCTTTTCTTATTTATTTTCGGTCATGCGAACCAAATTCGGTGCTCAGTGTTGCTTACGCGTTGTAAACAAAAAGGCTGTTTATCTTCTTCCGTGAAAAATCGTGTTCCAACAAGTTTAAGTTGTGTGCACACAGTTTTATGCACTGATCGTAATTTTAACGTGTTAGTCTACCTGTTATTGACAAGATGACGTTAGGGCCTTTTTGGGCTTACTAGCATCTTGCTAATTTTTCGTCTTTTCGTGAGTTAGTCCTTGGAAACTGTACGGGGTCCCTCTTGCTTTGCTTTCTACAAACGACATCCAGCGTGTGAAAGCGCCATCTTTGAGCTTTAGTAAGTCTTCTAATATATCTGAACCGTGTTCAGATATGAGTGACTAAATGAGCTTGTGACAATATCTTCTGAAAATCTATGGATATAGTCCAAACGCTAAGTAGTATAGAATAATTTACATGGGAACAGCCTAGCATCACTTCGGCGAAAGCATGAAAATTTTCAATTTTTCGATGCCTAGACTGTAAACGGTTTTGACGTGGTTTTGTGATATAATTGTGTCCATCCATGTTTTGTATACAAATAGATGTAGTTTGAACTATAAATCTAAATCAGCATCTATTTATATGATGCAAATTTCCTATCAAAGGTGCACCAAAATTGCGTAGATAGAGCCTGCCATCAAATGAGCCCGTCTCCAGATAAGTCCTGACTTATCTGACAGTCTTCGGACTTATCTGACAAGATTTGAGGGTAGCTATAATGGAGAAAAAGGACTTACTTGTAAGGCGGACTTATCTGAAGGGTCTGTAGGACGGGCTCATCTGAGTCAAAAAGCGGACTATTTGTAAGATTTCCAGCTTGAAGCTGAGAAAAATGCATTACAACGGCAGAAGGGGGCTAAAAATCTCCCAGAATTTGTGTAATGCATTGATTCGCTTATTCTGGGATATGAAATAAGCAGATGCTATTTCTACGTTTCTTAGGCTTTCAAATTTCGTTCTCTCTCATTCTATAGCCTCTCGGATGTTCTCCAAGGGCTTCACAGCTTTTTGAAATGTCAAGAATTCGCACATTGAAACATGGAGAATACCGAAGAGGCTTGGCGGAGCATCCATGGTCCAGTCAGATAAGCAGGGTATGAGCTTCGTGCACTTTTCCACCAAACTGAACTGCGATTGGTTTACTGGTCGCCCTCCCCACGCCCTCCAACACCCAAGTCCAGCCGACAACGACAACGCGACCTTTTAATAATTTAGGGGTTTACAAAATACAGGAACATCGAAGAACTTGGTGGAGACGTTGCCTTTTAACGACTCCTTAGAAGACTTAACGGAAAGTAGCTGACACCAAGGCAGAAAATAGTGCAAAGCGTACGCTAGATTTTTGACTTTTCCTAGTGGATCATAATACTTTTCATCTTATGGTAAATTTGCAATGTTGTACCTAAGAGAAGCGGCTGAAATGTATTGCATTTTTGCGTTGGCGATTGTGTGTGCACGACGGTAGCGCAACACAGTTCCTTTCTGCTGGCGTCCTTGACCGCAAACCCTCATCGAAGGGGCTTTCAACTCGCGACCTTCCATGCTTTCGACATTCTCAGCGCAAAGCCGGCGATCACTCAACAAACTTATTTCTCTTCAGCATAACTTCGATCATTTTGCTAGAGTAGAAAGATTTCAATGCTCTCGTTCTCTCAGAAGTAAAATCTGATTTCAGGAGGAAAACTCGCTTTTCTCTTTTTTAGAAGTTCAAGATCTTGTGTGAAATGGTGCAAAGTGAAGCTGTTAGCTATCAGAATCGTCCCCAGACTGGAGGGTAGCCAGTAAACTAGTTGCTAGGATTAAGCATGATAATCGCTTCCGCTATAGTGAGCTTGTTGTTCTACTGGTGCTTCTCGCAAAGAAAATTCAAACGTGATACTTTTCGATGCTTATATAAATTCAGCATTAGGAAGCTCAACAGAAAAATTCTCCAGGGTGCAGATGAGGAAATTCACACATCTTTATGTTAGAGAAAGAAACTACGCACAGGTCCATTTTTCATTAGAAAGCTTTATGAATAGTTTAGAAAAATTTTTAGAGTGTTTAGAATCACTGCAGCAGAGCAAAATTCGGGTAATGTGGAATAAGGATAGGGAAGGTGGGATGCCCTGCCTGATGTAAGAAAATGGTTTTAGGTCACAGAACTTACTTTCGATCAATTTCGATAAGTGGGTGTCGTTGAGTACATTTTCGAAGAAGTGCAAGCAAATTCTACATAAATCAGCGAAATTCAAATAAAAATATGATTTGAGACACTTTTCATCTCGGACTCTTCGATGTTAATTTGGAGCTTGAGTTGTCAACTTTCATTCCATTTTCTGATACCGATTTATCGCTTGAACTAGTCTTCCTCCTTTCAAAATTGGTTAGATGTGCGAATTCCTAGAATCGCGATTTTTGTTAGATTCACATTCATTTTGAAATACTTTTGGGTCTCGGACTTTTCTAGAAGTAAAGTATAGTGTTATAGATCACAACCCTCATTTGATATTATTTCTTGAGAAATTTTTTGGTACCAGGTTGTTGCGCAAACTAATCGTTCTGTTTTCAAAAGTGTCAGAAAATAGGGTTCTCGGTCAATTATGTCAGCATTTCCCAACTTTGACTTCAATATGGAAGTATTTGAGTGTTTGTACTTTGAACGATGAGCATCATCATCGAACCAACTAAAACTTGCACTGTCATCACCAAAACTGCAACCGGCAGCCGCTTACCATTTCGCGTTCGGCGCCCGAAACGCGAAAAGCTCACCGAACGAAAGCGATTAGTTGTGAGTGGAAGCTGCTCTGTGCCGTGTGCTTTTATGGTAAAATACCAGTTACTGTCGTGCGAGACCGGGGCGCTCCGATACACGGGTGTGTATCATCGGCATCGTCGGGGGGACGTAGAGCCCCCCGTAGATCGATCAGATAGTACAATACAGCTTTGACCTCGAGAGAAGGGAGAGCGCGCAGCAGCTTTTGTCGCCGACCCCCACCCAATTACGGAATGGCCTGGCCCGCGCCCCTGCGCACATCGTCGCCGCTCCATGCTGGGCTACCATTTTCTCTATTGTATGTTTATATACTTCCCTCAAGTACTGTATCTTCTGGAAATCCTCATTTCTTCCTTTTTACACATATCTTCCTTATGCGTCATCCGCTCCTCTCACGTCTCAACTTCCTTCTTCCCATATCTCTCTCCCCTGCTCCCCTGCTCGACTTCATTCCCTCTCTCTCAGTTCCAGCTAACATCAACAGTACAGACCACCCATTTTCCAGCTGAAACCATCAGTCTTTCTTTTGGTTTTTCAATAGAATACAGTGAAGAGAGCGATGTGTGATGATGATGATGTGTACTGTTATGGATTGGTGAGGAGACCAATTATCACCACTCTCCCTCCCCCCCCCCATCCGAACAAGGGAAAGAGCGCTCTACGATCAATGTCTCCACTTATCAACTGCTCTGCCGCTACCGCCGCCGCCGCCGCTGCCGTCGTTCCGTTGCGCGTCCCGCGTCCGCGTTTGTTGCAGCCGATGCGCGGCGCGGATAAAATGGCTAAAGATTTGACTGATGGGTTGTACATTAGCGTGTGATCATTCCGGTGGTGTGTGGAAGATAGGTCAAGATATTGGGAATGGTAAAGGGTGGTTATTTTCAGATGGGGAGAAGCTTTTTTTAGTGCGGACCCTATGCGACCGAATTTTGCCATGAGCAAAGTAAGCACCAATCATCCTTGATGTCACCGTTTTTGCAAAATTAGGCAGATTTTTCAGAAAGTTTGTGTGTATACAAGTCACTTCCAAATGTTATGTGAAGTTCAGGTACAAATACTGTATGGGTGGTCTTGCAAGGACTTTGGGGTCTTGAATTAACGTCGTCGTTGTTTGTTCCACAAGACATCAAAGAACTCCAAATTTCTAGTCGCGATTCGATGATTATTGGGTGAATAAAGAGTGCAGCGTTATCTCTTTGCTTGAGTAAGGCGTGGATGTCCTTGAAGTCGGGCTCTTTCGAAGTTTTTTCTCGCCAGAAAACAGTTTTAATGGAATTTTTCGCGGCTGCAAAGCCATCATTCGAGCATTTGCTTCATGGTCTTCATCATAAACTTACTTGTAAGGTAGAAGTTAGTTATAAGTGTTCATAAAACTTCATAAGCGCGATCGATCACTAGTTTAGGGGAGATTATTTCTTGATAGAGCTTTACGGTAGGTCCTAAAAAGAACAGCACTTTTTATTGCGATCCCTTATCCCGCTTGTCACTAGGAATGTAGAATTAGCTATAGAATCTAAGAATTTTCTGAGCATAGTTCTTCATGCTTTATTATTCCCTCGATGAAGCTCTGCAATGAAACATGTGGTCCCGAAAAGAAAGGAAGTCCTATCGCGATTTCAACGCATATCACATGAAAAAGTAGAATTAGCTTGAAAATTCCATAAGTTTTGTTCATCGAAGCTCTCAATGAGTTGATAGTCCCGAAAGGAAAGTGATATCCTTTCGGGGTCCCATGTCAGGCTTTATCCGCGCAAACTCGTCCAAGTTTCCAAGTTTGAACCTGGGCGCAAGCAGCAGCTCTCGAAATCTTCGCCGCCGCCGCTGCTTTCGGCCGGCTGCTGCTGGTATCTGTAACTGTGGACGTCTCTCTCGTGTCCGGGGCTCTCTCTGCCCCATCTCTCTCACTCGTTCTCATCAAGGTCAGGCACAGGTGTGGCGGTCGATACCTGCGAGTCATAGGTAAAAGCTCGACCTGCCAAATGTAACCAGTCATCGATTCGATCACCACACACACATTGTGCCACCGTTCGTCGTCTCCTTCAGCACACAGACAAAACTTATCACCGATTGAGTACTTGCTTGGTGGCGACGGTGTTATGAAGCTCGATTGGCGGCAATTTGGTGTTTTTTTTTCAGCTCTGGTCATGTGGCAGATGCTTGGACCGTGGCTGCGCTTTTTTTGGTTGTTATTTGGCAATTTGATGGATGTGTACTGTAGTAGAAGCTGTAATCGCACCCTTCATTGGCCTGTAACGTCTACTTTACGATAGTTAGTAATCTGATAAATTTTCGACTTCTTCAAGAAATTCCGAAACCTTTAGACCATAGTCAATTATAGCCATCAGTAATTCGGGGATAACTAGGGGGGCGAGGGGAGGTCACATAGGAGTGGCATTTGTTCATTGTATGGGTAAAATGTGCTCTCTCAGTGTGTCTTCAAGGTAGCGTCTCGGAGTGTCATGCAGCTGGCTGTGTGAGCTTGACGAGCGAGTGACCTTAGCCACAAAACTTGATTGAACGGAACGTAATGGTACGGTCAGGTCCGAATGTTTGAAGTTACTGGGAGTTAAGAAAGCTTTGGGAGAGTTTTTGGGGACAGAGGGCGTTAGATTGGCTTCTGAGAATAAACAGGACTGAATTGAGATAAACATTTCCAAACATGGCGTCGCGAGCCTTTTGAGAGACTTTTGGGAGATACAGGACTTAGATGTAAATAATCATAACCACTCCAGCGTAAAGTTTGAAAAATTATAGGCTGATTTTTTTGTTCTCTTATAATCTCAAATTTTAGAAGAAAAAAAGTCTCATGTTTTAAGTCTGTTCTTCTTCTCATCAACTCAGCGTGATAGTTAAGTTAATTATAGCTACATTATTTTTATATGAAAAAAATTAATAATGCATTAACACTAGATTTTACCACAAAAAAATCTCCCACTTCAACCATTTTGAACAAATTTTTCGAAAATGAACAGCGCTAAAGGGGAGAAATTTTCGAAACTGTGAGTTGGGAGTATCATGAGTCAGTTCTTTGGATAAACTTCTTGGGGGAAGGAGGACTGCTCTAAAAGGGAGAGTTTCGAGAATAGGGAACGGACCTCCGGATATGCACTTTGGAAGTTTGCTACCGTAACCTTACTGTTTTACTTCAAGCACTCCTGATGCTACCACCATGCCACCATCCGCCGCCATTATGCCACCATCTTGCCGCCACCATGCCACCACCTCAATATGTCCTCTCGAAACAAGCATCGCCTCTTCTTCCCGAACAAAACGCCTGAGCATTCTCATCGAATGATTGCTTTGTGCAGTGCTGCTGCTGATGGCTGCTTGGCTGACACTATAAGTGTCCAACCCATTATGGGCATTGATCGAGCTTACACTGTAAATCGGTTGCGGGTTGTGGGGTGGTGGTGGGGGCGAATTACCAAGCGCGTCCGCTCGGCTGCTAGTTTGACCCTTTTCCAGTCAGTCACAGCACACAACCACTTCAGCTCTTAACTCCGCCGGCACCGTATATGCGTCGATTTCTGCGCGCTCGTCGTTTTTTGATCTTTTGCGCTTTTTTCTTCTTTGTTCTTTGCTCTCATGCCTTATTTTCGACACTTACAGGTGGAAGATGCCTTATCGACCAGAGGCAGATTTGAAGAGACCAGATCTGAAAGGTGAGCTTATTTTAGGATTCAATCATTTTTGCATAGTCCGATTCTCTTCTCGATTCGGAAACTCTCGCTTACATATCTGCCCAGAAAAATTTGACCAATTGTCTTATATGCAGATTGGGAACCTCTATTTTTAGGGGGAGGGGTCGAAACTTTGCAGAGATCTCCATACGAAGCACACCTCTTTCCGATTCAGAAGCTTTCGCACGAATATCTACAATCCCACATGAATTTTATTTGATTACCTTATCTGCAAATCAGAAATCTTTGTTTTTTCTATGGAGAAGGGAGGGAAGGGGGGGGGGGCCTCAGTGAAACACTTCCGTGTTTGGATGTTCCGGCATTTTTATCTCATTCCATGCCTTTTAATCCGTTATTTTTCATTACTTCCAGGCAAAAGTGTCTTGCGCACTTTACAATTTTCGTGACAAGTGTCCTCTCAGAAAAGAATTTGGAAACTGTCCAAATTTTTTAAAACCTTTTTGGAAATTAAATTTGCGTTTTGAGCTGATTTCGTTTTTCCCCTGCTCGTTTTCTCCCCCATGTCAAGTCTACCCCCACAAGCTCAAAGATTGCTCGCTCAAATTCTTTTGAAATGGATCTAAAAACTTAAAGATCGCATACTTGCGCATTCACTCCCACAAACTTTCCGAAAAATTGGGGAAAAAAATAAAAGTTGCGTATTTTATATCTTTTCGTTTTGTTGCGCTCCTAGCTGTTAATGAGCTCACAAAGTTTTCAAAAGAAATTTATCCCCAAAATTTTTCGAAGGCTCTGAAAAAGGAAAGATTGCTATAAACAATTTCTTCATCTTTCTTTCTCAGGACTTACAACATGAAAGATTGCTTTTTAGAGCGCTTTTTCTTTTTTACTGTTGCTTTGATCAAACTTTTCATTCTCATTCTCCTTCCTGTTTACGCCCTCATATCTTCCTGGAGAGTTGATGAATCTTTCGCCATTAGCTAGAGTCGCAAAATAGTTCCTTTTCTTCCACTTCCTTTCCACTTATCAGCTCGACTTTTCGCTTTTCCCAAAAATCAAACGTGACACTCAAAGTGGTGATTCCAGTATAGTACGTGCTGAAGCATTACTAGTGCACAATGAACAACACACAGCTGACTGTCACAAGCGTTCGCGAAAATTTTCTCTTACTTGTCGAGTTGTTGAGAACCGAACCACCTAGCCCGCAAAGAACTTTCACACTCTCCTCGTCGTCATGAGATTCTTCCCAGATAAGGGAACGAACGCCTTGGCGCATTCGGGTATCAGAAAAGATGTCGAGATACTTGGGCCGACGGGAGATTTATGTACTTGCGTAAATTCTAGGAATAGCTCTGGCCGCGTTGGAGGAAAGCTGAATGCTTGAACTTAGAAATAATTTTTTCTACGAAGGTAATAGAAGTCGAAAAAAGTTGGCAGTACATACTTTTCAGTAGGCGCTTTGCTATTGTCTGCATTTGCATATTTTCCAGGATGCTAGCGATGAATCCAGGTTTTCCATATAAAACTATTTGCAACGTTTTTACTCATGACAAACACAAATGCTTCTAAACGACAAAAAAAGGAAAAACAGAAAAAAAAGTATTATCTGGCCTTCATACTTCAACTATCCTGAAAATTGTGCATTTGCACACTTATCAAGGAAACTTACTCGACTGTAAGAAACTTGCTCTAAGGGAAACGAACATTTTTAGCTTCCTGTAAATTGTTTGGCAGTAGTACTTAGACTTTCATTACAGTACTCTACTCTCTCTCTCTCTCTCATACGTTCCAAACTCCTCTGTAAATTACAAAATAACTTTCAATAGAAGCAAAAGCGCGCTTCTGCTTTTTTCACCACTTGGTCACACACTCGACATTTACAAAACTTTTATCTCTAATCACATTGGTTACTCGTCGTTTTCTTTTCCTTTGTTCAGTAGTTGTTTGTCAAAAAATGTGATGCCCGCATGCGTGTCTAGTTTTCTGAAACATTTCTAGTGGGCAACAGTTGACTTTTTTCTCTGCGAGTGCCATTTTACTTGCATGTTGCATCTCCTTCAATGTATGACTATGTACTTGTGTGTTTGAGCAATAGAGAAGTGACGTTGACGTTTAGTTCGAAGAACTTCATACATAATTGATGACTGGCTTCTCTTCAGCAATGGTATTTGAATGCCAGTCATTTTTCATGGCGAGAGTCTTGAAAAAGAAAACTTTCTACTTTCTATGTAATTATGTCCGAAGATGAAACATCATTTGAGCTTTCTTTCTTTTTTCCTGTTTGTTCAGTCACTCAGCGCATTGTTTTTTTTCAGTTGCGAACAAATTTTAGAGGCTTCATATGACCTTTGTTCCTTTTTCAAACTATAAAAACTATTTGAAAATGCAAGATGACGTCATTTGGTTCCACGATGTAGCATCCTGTACAATTTGCCGACATTAGTGACATTTCAAGAAGTGTAACACTTTCAGTTTCAAATTTGAAAACTGATTTATTTTTGAACAGATTGAATTTCAAAAATTCCATTTTCAAATATCTTGAATTTCGAAAACTGTAACTTTCAAACACTGCAGATTTATTTCAGATATTTCAATGCTCATTTGAGCATGGTGGTCTCGTGAGTAGCCAAAATCTAATCCTTTGAAAAATAAATTAGTCGTCCAGAAGTTTAAAAGTTGCCATAAAAGGAATTCAGTGATTTAAATGAATTTTGGAAAACAAAGCATAAAAAATGTAGTTATTATGCTGTTTGTCCAATGCAAGAAATTTTTTCCTTGAATTCGAAAATTTCGTGAGTTTTTTTTTCTCAGGGTGGTCTTTATTTTCTGAATGATGAGTACAATATCCTGCAGTTTATTAAAACATAATGGTAATAAAGCGGCTTCATAATAATAACCTATGCATTAGAACCTTATATCTATAATTTGAAAAAATCTAAAAATTATTTAGAGGCCAGAAAATCACTCAGGAACCAGCAAACAGCGCTCTAGTGGTAGTGGTGCTAATCTCATTTGCAAATAAAATTTTTACAATTTGCGTGGGAACTGCGTCATCCTCTGGCCTCAAAATGAGTCTGTTCTGGTCTAGACAGTACCTATTTTCTCGTAACAGGACCTCTTGTATGTAAAATAGAAGCTAAGACTTTGTCTAGAAAAACTTAGCTTAGCTCATGGCAAAGCTGCGGAATATAAAAAAAAAAGAAAAGTTCGGTTAGCAAGCCGCATTCTACTCAAAAAATCTGAAAACTCAGGTAATAAAAAACCGCTTCTAAATTTAGCAAACTAAGCTTGTTCTGTTGTGCCAATTTCATTTGCATTAAAATTTATTACAATCTGTCTGGAAATTCGTAATCCTTCATCATCAGAATGAGTCTGTCCAAACAGTACCTATATACTCATGAACAGGCTCTCTTGTATGAAGAGAGAAATTGAGGCTCTAGACCAGAAAAAGCTGCAAGAGTGTTTGTCATTTCTAGGCGAGTTTCTCTGTGGGCATTGTGGAAAAACGTTTTGTCATGCTGCATCACTCAATCGACATCGACTCAACTTTCATGGCGATGACCAACATTGCCAGCTTTGTGATGCAAAGATTCCAGGTATGTATAGGCTTTGAATGGGCTATTACTAAGCAAAGCAATTCGTCATTTGGTGCTTTGCTTGTGCTTTTCGAAAAAGTCACATGGTGCCCTATTTTAGCGCATGAAACAGTTCGTCGTCACATGGGTGTTCATCACGCTATAAATCGAGTGTTTACCTGTGGCTGTTGCAATTGGACTTTTCCTGATAAAAAGGTGTGTGCTGCTTTTCGACACTCGACATTGGGGCAATAATTCTTCCTGTTTTGTGCGATTGTTCATCTTCTTCTTGATCAGCAAATAGAAGCACTTAGCTGTGAAGAAAGAAATTATTAGTCACAAGCTGAAAAAGCGATGCGAATGGACAAAAGTACATTAGATGATTAGTCTCAATCTGTTTTTATTTGAATTTCTCACTATGAACATGAATAAGAGAAGTAGAAAAATTTAATTTCTTGGTATGAAAATTCTGCACCGAACTTTGTTTCATTCTTACCCTTAGACGAGGTAGTAGAATAAACCTTCCCCTCGCTCCCCCAAACTCCTCGATATGTCTCAACCAGTTTTTACTTGAATTTTGTTACTATTTCTAAGCAAGATGATAAGAAACAAAAAAAATTTTTTTGGCAGAAAAACTACCAATTTCTCTTTCGTTCCTGCATTCAGATGAAGTATGTATCATTCATTCTATGACTAGGAGACGCGGGCCGCATTGCACACATTGGAACAAGCCTAATCATGTACTTAGCAAGTTACTTACTTGTTACTCATCTCGTCCAGGTTTATCCACTCTTCGGAAACAGGGAGGAACAAACTCAAACTTGTTAAGACTATGTCGCAATGCAGTCTCGCGTCTCCTAGTCGTACAGATGATAGAATAATTTACAGACTTTTCCCGGGCTCTTTAGAAAGATAGAAAGGTCTGTAAACCTATTGTTTTTGAAATTTAGAGATGATTTAGAAATAAGGATTAGTTGTAAATTGCTGGGAAAAAAATAGGTTAGTGGAATTAATTTCTTTCAGTGCTAACTATAACTTTGTTGCTTTCATTTGACTTTGCTGAATAACCGAGCCTAGGTAAGATTCGTAGCTTACCGTAACCTTTAACCTCTCTCCAGGTGCAATCTTAAGGCTACATTTAGCGCCGTAGGTGTCCAGTGAATCATCTCCATTGCGCAAACCTGTCATGCACTCCCTTTGCGACCGAAGCTAGTTGGAAAGCTAACACCTTTTTTTTTTCTTGACAATTGGAACTTTCCCATGGTGCAGTTTTTGAGGAGTTTAACATTCGTTTTCAGCTTGTATGACATCATTCGGTCACATCTTTTGTCTTGAGAATTGCACTTTTTACCCTTTGTACTTTTGTTGCCATCAAAACAAAACATTTTTTGGAATCGCTTACAGCTGAATGACCTCCTGAATTATGTTAATATAAAAATTATTCCAACTTCAAAACCAGCGATTTATACATGGTCTGATCTCATCCTGGACAATCAGCATTTGTTTTACAATCGAGAGCACCTTCAGAATTCGAAGCCGAACAGAATTCGGAACCACAAGTTCATGTAGTTTTGGTTGTTTTTTTTCTCATTGTACAGGATTTTTCTCGTCAAAAAAGTTCTGACACTGGAATTCGCACATCAATGTTTGATAAACTACTATAACCCTACCAATGAATGAGTGCGAAAATGACTTTTTTCAGGAACTTCATGCCCATAACAATAGTATGATGCGTACAGGACATCCAGGTGATGCGAAAGCAATCGCAATTAGCAGTAGGCCTCCAGGTACAGCTCAAGATCCCAATGCATGCATATCCTTATCATTACTTAATCTAGGCTCCCTGTCCCAAGCAGAACTTCGTGGCGAAGAACATCCATCACCTAGGCCGCCAAAGACTGTTGTTCGTAAGAAGGACGACAAAAGCACTGCTGCTCAGCTATTGTTCTCGCAGCTCATGAATGTTAGTTTTTACTAAACATTGCGCTGAATATGACTTTGAAACATAGCAATATCAAGTGGAGTTCAGCCGAAGTCCAAAGTTATGAAGTTTTTGTTTGCAGTCGCAGTCACAACCTCCATCACAAGTTACGGTGTCAGCTGATTGGCTCAGCGCATTTCTACTTAACAATCCCACTCTGCTCCCACTCCTACATCATGGACACACTGGAAATGGAGACACAGAGGTATGGTTTTCATTCTTAGTAAAAGTGACGTTGAGGTGCACTAAGGATAGACACTTAAATAGTGTGGCTGACTTCAGCACCTATTTCTTTGTTTGTATACTACATAACCTTAGGTCTATGAACGCCTCGATGCAGTATTTCCCATCTTGACAAGATTTTCGGAGTCTTGTCCAAATTTTTCTCAACATTTTTCTATCCCACTTGCATTTGCGGTTTAGAAATATTCAAGGAGGTATAATATATACAAGACCCTCAAAGTGACGATCATTCTCACAACAGTGATAAACTAAGGGCAAAGAGGAAGAAGGCTTTCAAAAATTGTGTAGATAAAATGTGAAAGTAATTGTTTCAGTCTGTAATCGTTTTTTTTTATCATGAATCTAGAACGGTTATCAAAAAAAATTTAGAAAAGGAAATTTGGGCTGCTGATAAAATTTTTCAAAAACGCTAGGCACGCCTCCTCATTTGAGAATTTTCTGCTGTATCGCCCCTTCCCCCTCCCCCACCTTCCCTCCCTCCCCTTTTGCTTCTCCTTTCATATTCCCTCCCTCACCACCCGAATTTTCTCGGACCTGACCGAATGACCTAATGTTGCCGCAATTTTTTTTGCCTTGTTATTCTGAACCCTTCTGAGCTGACGCTGCTGTAAGACAAATCTCTTCTCTATACATGATTTCTGATATCTTTCGAACTTTTTGTTCTGACGGATATCAATGTCCCTATCGGTCATGCAGCAGCCCTTTTTTATTTTTCATGTAGAGACTTGCATACTCTCAAGATGCGAAGAATCGGCTTGAAAAAAAGCTTCGTTAGCTTACATGATTTCTTCCTTTTTTCGAGAGTTGTAATTTGAATGGAAGTTGTCACGGACTGCGTTTATTTTGATCTCACAATTGCAGCCAGCTCATGGAAGTAAAAAAGTGTCGAAACAAATTCTAACTTTCTCATGATCCATCTTTGTCCAAATGAACTCTGTGAACGGTGTTCGGTACATGAAGCCTGCTGTTTTCTCGACACGTGACGTTTTCTTCTGTATCGAAATGACTCGTGCTTTCAATAGAAGGTAAAGCTATGAAAAAGGCCATTCTTTCCATTTTCTACAAGGGCCAAATTTCAAAGTGCGAAGTGCTTTTATTGTCCGGAAGTTCAAGCTACCATGTGCTATATTTTTAGTGTTTTTTCGTCACTCCGAAGTAGGGAAGAGCTCATACTTATATGTTCACCTGAAGAAACCACACTGCAATTGTAACAAGCGAATTTGTCACATGAATAATACAAACAAGCAAATGATTTTTTCAATTGTGGATTGCATCCAGTATACCGCAGTATTGGTGGCATTTTGCCGCATTTTGTAAGATATTACATATACTCTGAAAGTAAATTCGACTTGAGATTGGGAGCTCCTCAGGTACAACAAATCAAAAACAAAAGCGTGTAAAGAATTTTTCACAAGCAAAAACAAGTCACTTGCACACTTTTTCACCTCACATAGGCAACTTTCAAAAATTTCACTGTCCGTTCCCTCCTTTCCCTCCCCCCCCCCCCTCCCAAAGTCTTCCCGCTCTCGGTCCGCCGCAAGTATACGCATGTAGAGGTGTACCTTTTATCGGAAAGGAGGAAGAGGATGTGGGGGAGGGAAATGATGACAGATCTCATTCGCTGGGTTGACTCTTTCAGTTTCCAAGCAATCATCAATTTTTTGAACGCTTTGGATTCTTCTGTAGAGTTTGTTCTCTTCTACCAGATAGCAAACAATAATAGACCACATGCCTCTATTCTATTCATTTTATACAATAATTTTTTGTCCTCATGCTATATTTAGCGAAAACATGGTCGGGAGCATGCGGAAACTACCTTTCCTTTGTGAAAAGCCTTAGAAGTGGACTGACTGACAAAAAGTGTGAACTTTGCGCTTGCATTAGATGACCTTGGCGAGGCGCTTGCTTGCTTTGGTGGCTTCTTGAACGAAAAGCGAGCGAGAGAGACGGGGAAGGAAGCGGGGGGACTGGTCAATAATTGGCTACTTTTTCGCGGGGGTATTTTCATGTGTGTCTCTGAACGCAGGTGACGACACAAAGGTACTGTGACACATCGCCGCTTCAATCAAGAGGTCAATGCACTTGCTATGCAGCCGTTCGCGATAAGCGTTGCGCGTGTCTCTGTTACCTATCGGGCCAGCCTCTCGCCGAATTGCAATGGATAGTTCGCTTAAAATAGCCTCTAGAGGTTCTAACAAACAATCACGATCACATGCCCTGCGAGAGAGCCCGTAATTCGAGTGGAAAAGACGGGTTGTGGCTCATCAAACTTTGAAACCGTCGGGACCCCATAACTTGGTTCAAAATGACTTTTACGAGATGGAGAATTGATTTTTGGACAGCAGAGTACAAGGATTCGAAAAGAAGCAAGAATTTTTCAAATGTGGTTTTTCACATAACTTTCAGTGGCGGACCCAGGATTTCCGTTCAGGGGGGGGGGGGGCAGTAGAACCTTTAGAATGAAGGTGCGCTAGCTACGCACCCCAAAAAGCTACGCACTACGCACGTTAGCTATGCACTTCAAAAAAATTTTTGCGATGCTTCCCAGAAGTTTTCGGACTTTTATCCCCGAACTGGAAGAAGGGGGCGTAGCTATAGCCACACCGCCGAAAAATTTTCTTACAAGGCTGATTTCAATCTTTAAAAATCTTAAAAATTATTAATACTCACAATTATGGATCAATTATTTGCACAATTTTTCAACTCATGTAAGTAACTTTCGAAAGTTTCGGCTTTCCTTTCCCCCTCCTCGGTACGCCACTAGAGTTTCTCAGTGAATGGCCGCGGGAAGAGCGCGATGCATGCTTAGGACTTATTAAAATATGTATTTCTTTATTGTTAGTTGTATAATATTTTTGGAACGCCGGCAGCTCAATGATCATAATTTGTCGATCAAAAATCAGCAAATTCTATTATGGAAAAATTTATGGGAGTCTGGAGTATGGCTACCCTACCCTTTGAGATTTTTGTACCGCAAATCCCAAAATTATTCGAGGCAGCTTTTGTGTGAATTTTTTATTTTTTCAATCACCAAGATCTAACTTTTCTTTTGCTAAGACGATGTCTTTCGTCTCCTCGATCTCTCCTTTGCGATTTATCGAAAGCCCGGATTTAGTAAGTTTTGAAAATATCCTTGTTACTCGGACCCTTTCGGCTTTCAGAATTTATTTAGCACACGATTTTAGAGATCAACCAAGTTAAGAGGTCCCAACGGTTTCATTAAGATCGGTATCCTGCAACCCGTCTTTTTTGACCCATGTCACGGGCTTTTCTTCATAGGACCTTAGAATGGCTTATTATGAGTGATCTGTCGAGTGAATTTGAGACAAAAAAACCCAAGTTTCAGATGACTCCGTCCACTTCCATCGATGAGGAAGCGAACAATGCAAGCAAGAACCTTCTCAACAATAACAATATCGAATTTTCTGAGTTAAACGTGAAAACAGAGAACGATATGGTGTTGAGTGGACCGGAGTCCGGCATCGCGTCTGGTGAAGAGGTGTGTCATCCGAGTTTTTATGGTCATTGCTCACTAATTGTTGTATGAAGAGTCTTATTCGAATATTCTAGGTGACTGAAACCGACTCGTCACCAGCTCAAAGTTCCAAAGAAGGCAGCCCTCTCACACATGACATCGCTCCACAATCCAATGTAGGCTTTCCTTTCAACATTTGAGAGTAAAAACAAGCAGGAAGATTTTCTGCAGTTGCCAAACTCTTACTGAATAGGGCCTACAACGACCTTAGGTTTTCTAGGTGCTTGATTCATATTTTTCGTACTGTCACACTCATCAGTTTTTCGTTTGAAGTTAAGTCACAGTGTAATTGACAAATGCTCGCATTTTTCTCATACATTCTCAAAAGCTTCTGAGGCGTTACTTTGAGTGAACTGAGAGAGGAAAGAAGTATATGGAATAAGGTCTAGCTCACCATAGCCATAGGATGACCAATCATTCGGGAAAGTAATTGATTGATCCAACATGCACAAGCTTTGACCTTACCACGTTGCAACTGCCTTTGAGTCGTAAAAATGTCGAGTAGGCATCTGAGCAACCCAAAAGTATCCAAAATGTGCAATCGCACCATTGTGCTTCGGTAATCGGTTGAATGACTGAACAGGTGAAGAATAGAAAACAAAAAAACTAGTTGGATTTTAAATTCCAGGTCAGATGAACTTGAACTCATCTTTACATTAATAATACTAGGAAATTTCTTTACTAAGGTTTCATTCTCGCGGGGAAAAAAAGCGGTAGCTATGATCATAGAAATCTTTCAATGTTAACTGTGTCTCTCGTCCAGCAAACAAGTACCCTACAAATAATAAAAATAATTAAGAAAATGCTATTGTGTTTGGAAAAAATGCTGAGCGATGGCTTCCTTACATTGTGCTATAACTATAATATTTTCAACTGAATTAAAGTATTGATGAAGTTGAAAAATGTCGACTGTCTAAGTCTGAATGAATGCATTATTTTCAGAGAAAGCGCAAATCAGTAGATGCCATCGCATCTATTCTATTCAAGAAAAAATGCATGATGGGCTGACGCGGATCCGCAGTGGCATTTTATGGAAAGGTCTCTTAATTCTGCAATTACTTCCTTCTCAAACTACGTCGTCGAATATCTTGCCAGTGTGATAATTTCTTCCACCGGATAAAGCCCAAAACTTCCCCCTCATCGAATATAGGTTGTGGTCGATCGATTCCATTCCATTCCAGCTGTTAGCTATTAGGTGTTGTGCTGTGTTATTCTAATTTATCGTTATATCTAATTCGCATAATTATAGTTACGGCTTTATGGCAATATATCTCATATCCAGAGTTATTCACTTGATCATGATTATCCAACGAAATCTATGTAGATATTATGTATCCTTGCTCGCTCAGGATTATCACATTCCACTCACGGTTTGACAGCGAATCTGATGATATTCACTCTAGCCTTTTGTGTTTGTTTATGCGTTGTATTTCGAATAATAATGCTGTCGTTTCGTGTTCTCCTCTGCTTAATCTGCACTTATTTTTTATTTGATTGAAACATTGTGATCATATGAACGTTTTGAAGAGATTGCGGTTTATCCTCCACTTTCCTCGATCATTGCTTTGAACAATTTGATCTGCTGGGCTGCCATCGCTCTCATAGCGACGAAGCCGGTGACGATCTGGAAAGTTTTATTCAGTAGAAAAGTAGCATAAGTTGAATTTCCAAAGGGGCAACAAGTTCTGCAGGAATTCGCCCAAAATACAGATCCTCTAACTTCCTCAATATTCCTGAGTAGTATTATCCTTCCGCCCCACTATTCAAACTTTGTCCAGGTAGTTTAGCTTGTATGAGTTACCGTTCTTCATAAGATTCGACAATTCGTAATGTTTCGTTTTTTTATCCAGAAGCAAAGAAGCTTACGAATAGTCGGAGAGACAAGGTGGTCTATGCCATCTATGGCAGTCTTTTTGCTATGTTCCTTCAAAATAGCCTGTTGCGTTATGCTTTCATTTCATCGGAAAAAATTTTTGTAGAAAGAGTTTGGAAGTTCTGCTGTTTTTTACTAACCCCAGGTAAGCTCACGATTTGTTCCAACATGTGATCATTAAGATATATGAAAGCCAGTTGGCGGGTGAGTATGAAATAGTTACAAAAGAGGCTTGTCCGTGGTATAGTCCTAGTAAAGTTGAGGCAAAGTTTTACTCTACGATGATATGTTTGACATTTGATGAGATCAAAAATTTGCTGCACTGAGAGGTTCTTGAAAAGGACTGAGTAATCTTTCAGATCTTCAAAGTCAGAATCGTCATTCATTGAAGATCAGTTTCCTAGAGTGGTCATAGTAGGGGCGGATTTGGTGAAATCCGCCTGCAGCTTATATTTTGGTTGGTACATTTTCAACGTATTGACTTCTCACGTTTATCCGGGGTATTTACTCCTGAATACTTTTGCGTTAATTCGTGGACAAGTTTTCATCAGGGTTGAGCGTGGGGTCAGACGCGCCCGACCTGGGGAATCATATTGAGGGTAAGACTGAGGGGGGGGGGGGTCGTAATTAAGAATCGAATTTATTATTGGGGAGATACTGTGAAGGTGAAGAAGAAATGCGCTAGTCCGGTGGATATCGCGATCACATGAAGGAATGACGGTCATAAACAGCATACTGATTGTTTCCACAATGGAAGTTTCAGCCAAAATCCAAATCTTCTTCTCTTTTACCTTGACATATGAGGTAAACAAGGAAGCTTGCTGTGTGAAATGGGTATCGTTTCCATAATAAGCAGGTCAAATTACCTCTATGCACTCTACAAACCATTACCTACTGCAGTTTCTAGTGTTTTTTTAACGCCTAAAAAGCGTGATTTTCAGACGTGATCAACTTGGTTTCAGAAGTGAGAAAAGTCAGCTTTTGTATACTCATAACAAAGTAATGTTCTCTACAAGTCTATGCTACAAATGGGACTTCATATCGCTTACAAACAGTGAAGTAAGAAGTGCTGCCAAAATTCCAATCGGCGCGTTTTTCACTTTGAGTGCTTCAACTTCTCGGATTAGCACAAGGCCGAAACAAGTCGAATCAAGCTCGAACACTTACTGTGGAATCTTCGAGGATTGAGCTAGCGAATCACTTAAAATTTGGATAGAAAAGCTTTTTCGGAAATAAAGTTAATGGGGTCAGGCGCAACCCCTCAAAAGGTCAGGCCGCCTGAGCTTTTGAGGGTTGCATCTGGCCCTCTTAACTTGCCTTCAACATTCAAAAATCACCCCTTTTTTGATATGAGTATTGTGCGCAAAGCCTCTTCTTGCTATATTGAAAATTTGAAGCCAAACACTCCACCCCTATGAAAATTATAGCTCTGAAAAGAAGACTATCCAGACCTAAAACTCGCCGTCAAGTTGCGTGTGGTTGTGCAATCGCAGAAAGTCGGGCCTACAGACTTTAAAAAAATAGAAACTTGCAGTGAAGGCTGGTGTTCTTCAGAATATAACGCCTTAAGGACTGGAGGTGAAGCGGAGGGTCGTTTAGGGGCTTTCACAGGGGGAGGGGGGGTCCTTTTGAAGGATTGTGCCTGACCTCTTGCTCAACCCTGGTTTTCATGGTTAACAAAAACACAGATGTTGCTTATTGTTAGTGTCTCTACTTTTGCCTTCTGGATCCATTTGAAGCTCAGACAGCATAATTTTTCTGCCACAAAGAAGAATAAATTTATATTATAAAAAGCATGATTTTGTAGTACGGGGTATTTTTTCTTAACTCGTTTTATAAAGAAGCGATAAAGAAAATGGAAAAAGCGACACTGTCGCAACACACCTAAAAGATCCATGTCATTTTCATTGGATCATAGACAACTAAGGAGGATCTAGAATTGCCAACGTTAATCAAATGCAAATAACCTCCCCTTCAGCTCCTAATATACTTCCTATTTCTTCTCTCACTTTCAGACCCTTTATCATCCACTCCTAGGTCAGGGCTCCGCACGGGGCGGCTTTTGAAAAATGCAAAAAACGAAGTCCTTTTTAACTTTCACGATCTTGTACGAAGTTCCCTTTGACCCTGAACCCTAAACGTAAGAAAACCCTCAAAAAACTAAACGTCGATCAAAAAAACGTCACAATTTTTGCGTCTTTTTGGCCTCAAAAACGACTTCCCCTTTGCTTTTCGTCTCAAAAACGATATCCAGCTTGCTTGCAAACCACCTGTGCCGAGCTCTGTCCTAAGTTTCTTAAATTTCGTTTCATAAAGAGAAAAAAATTTGTCTTTTATTGCCATCAGGGGTTTTAGGGGATTGGTAATGTTATGTTCAAGAAAATGGATAAAATTAACAGTGAAGACATCATGATTTCAATTTTCGATGGAAACTTGAAACGCATAACACTACTAATTATGTAATTCCAGGAAAACGAAAAGCTGTGTCCGCAAGGACATCCGCGCTGTTCAAAGAATGTGACTCTGCTTTTCCATGCTTTTCTCTCAAGATTTTCGCTTTTCCTTTTGCGAGACCCTAATGTCGGCAAAAGGTTACCTCTATCAGTAGGAAAACGCCATGTATTCCCAGCATTATCGTTTCCAGCGGAACGGGAGCCACTGCCCAGTTGAATAATAAGAATAATTGGACAGGAAGTTGCAAAATTAACGTTAATGTCCAAAAGCCGGACATCGCAGGAATCTGAATCCGAAATTAAAGCCAGTGTAAAAGTTGCTAATATCATTTTAGGGAATTTACATACATCCTTTGCAAAACAAGAAAAGTATAGTTTAAAAGCAAAGTAATCACCAAAATTCACAAAAAATAAATTATGTACCTTCTCCCCTAGATTGCCTATAATTCCAAGAAATAGCCTTACAATCTCAACCAATATGTGTACAAATAGAACAGCCACCAATATGACCTTGTATGTTACTGGCAGATACGGATACTGGAATCTGTATAGCTTCAAACTTTTTACAAAGTGACTACCATATGCAGAAGCTTACCTTCAAAACCAAGCAGCTTATTTCTGCTATGAAGAGGAACGGTGCAAAACAAGCATTTAAGTGAAGTGCCATCCCAAGAGGTAGGCTGGACAGGGCTTCTGTAAAATGCTATAACTTTTCATTTTCATTTAGGTTACATCCTGCGGCTCGACCCATGGTTTTTGAAAAATGATTCTCATCTTTCAAAAACATCATAGCCATGTTTTTGCTCTCTTCATAGCTTTCCATCTTGCCACAATTTATGATCAAAACGATTTGTGATTAGTTGACGAATCCGGAAACTTCGAAATTGTAACGTAATATAATGCTGTCGGGCTCCCAAACTAGCTACACCCTACATCATGATGGCAGTTCATTTCAGAAATTTTGACTCCTCTCATTTGATAGTTGGAATCGGTGAAGAAGACACTTGCTTCGTTTCTAAGGATGCACTCGACTCAAAGGCCTTTTTGATATCACCATTCCTTAATTGGTTAGCGTCTCAATTAATGTATTTTCATCATAATGTTCTCCTTGTTTCTTGGGTCACAACTTGAAAATTGGAAAGAAAAGATTAGGTACTTGTCTTTGCCAACATATTGACAGCAGATGTATAAAATCAATGGGCGCTTTTTACCTAGCTAATGTTGAAGGTGCCTACATCGCAAAAGTACTATTGTAGGTTTGAAGGATGAAATTCACCGTGACTATGGTAAAGACAAGGTTCTCAATTTAGAAATACAATTAGAGGAGGTAAGCTGTGACGTAGCAAAACTATTTGTTCATTCTCATTTTTTGCTGGTCTTGTCAACTCCTTGAAGAAAAACTTTTATTTTGATCCCATCCTTTTTTCTACCTTTTCTTTTTTTTACGCTCGTTTCGTCACCATTAAAAAATGTGGAACACTTTATTAGTTATTCATTCAACAATATCAAGGCCACTTCCGTTAGTCAAGATACCAACGGTTTAGCGATGTTTCATATTTACAGTTTCTTATAACTATGCATTGAAACAACCCAGTAAACTCTTCGCGGGATGTCGAAAACCAATGAGGAGAAAGTAATCAGAGCTTTGAAAATAAGAAGTTGTACAAGTAAGCTATACTGGTGGTAAGACATGCATTTTGTGAGGGACACGCAAGCACCGATAATTTCATACTATTCTGCAAAGTGTATTGCTGCTATCAATTTTTATTTGCTTTGCATACAAACCATAGAAAGGATGGTTTCTCAAAGAAGTAATTTGGTATGGGATTTATACCATTTGGAATGTATAGAATTGTTTCTAAATCTTCCTTCCTCATCTGTGGAGCCTTGCACGAGGAGGTATTTATTTATTTATATATTTATTTGCGCTCGAGGTGCGCCATTATAAAAGAACGCAGAAATTTTGAACACAAGTCTAACCAGTCACACAGTACATTTAAGTAAATCTTGTTACCTGCTGGCCAGACCTCTACAAGTAGTAAGAATGTCAAAAAAGGCTAAGGCAAAAGGAATCACATTGAATAGTGTGATGTAATAATATCGTTTCGTCTAATATTCTTAGTTGAATGCATAGGAGCGCCAGTAATTTGTAAGCAACAATATTACTCACTGCAATTTTCTAGATATTCTATTAATATTAGAAAAATTTCTCCAAAAAGCTTTGATTTTATGAAGTTATGAGCTTTTAATGGAGGAAGAATTTGAATGCGCAAGCAGGATAAAAAGTCTTTTCTTCTCAGCGCGCACTAACTATGTCATAAAAAGCCTAGTCAAAATATGTCCAAGATCCGCTTCCTCATATAAACTCAAGAAAAACTTTAGTGATTGATTTATTCTAGACGAGCATTCAGTATTTGCCCCATTTGCAAATAACTACTCGTGCAATAATGCTTCGCAGATAAGAAAGACAGATTTGGAATCAGCGTTTTATGCCCTCCACAATGATACATCTCGTCTTGAAAGGCCACTCCTGCTAAATTTCCTTCAATCTTTAATAGAAATTGCGCACAGGTGTTTGAACGTATCAAAATCACGTTCGAAAACGATGAGCTTATTACCAAATTCGAAAAAGAGGAAAAAGTTCTATATCATGATGAAAGCCACTTTATTTCAAAGTTATAAATTAACCCAACTGTTTGACAACTACTTATTGTTAGATCACACCGAAAGAATATACATAGCAATGGCCAAAAAATTTGAATACCTGTTTTCCATGATGGTGGTAAATGACCCGGTTGTATAGGCGATGACATCCAAGTCTGCGCCCACCCGGAGACAGCAATGCCGAATAGTCCAAGCTGTTGCCATAGCAACTACATGCACATAAAAGGAAAACCTTAAGACTTTGACGTTCTAGTCGAAATATGGAGCCAGTTGGTTTACTATGAGCTTGATACAGGTGTAAGGAGTTATTTGGTAAATACCGCTTGAAACCTTGTGATTGTTCAGTTTGCAAGAAGTGTTTCGCCTCGCGTTCCACGAAGAAGCAAGTAATTGCTCGATTTGCTTCTCTATATTTCAATCTATTGGGTTACAAAGTTCCCGGACAGTTTTGGAAATTTCATATTCAGACTCATTTTTTGCACTCGGCAGAATTTAAACGATAAATTATACGGTTCTGTAAAAGAGAACCTAAGCTTTTTGAAGTCGCATCCAGTTTTATCGATGTTAAGCTGTATCTGCTCTATACACCAAAAAAAAGAAGTTTAGGCAACCAAGAAAATTTCACAATTTTTCTTTTTGCTGCCATTATTCGCAGTGAACAAAGAAAACTATTTGATGGTTGGTCATTCTGAACAAGAAGGTTGTCCACTTCGAACCGCAGCTGTGCTCGGATTTTGCAATAGACGCACAAAAATTAAAAGCTCTCAAACTTGCCTTTTTAACCTGTTTTTGCAGTTGGCGTCGATTTTGTGAGGATCGTCACGCCTCGGCGATGGGCCCAAAAGATGTGCAATACCTTATGCCAACAATACTTGCAACAATGAAAGATTTGATTTTCGGTGAAAAGAGGAAGACTTCAAACTTATTTACTCAAAAAAGGGACATTTTCAGAGTGCAAAAGTGGCGGATTTTTCAGAGTTTTCGATAAAAAATTTTTAAAGGCTATGCTTCCAAGATGTGACATAGTCTGTGAACAACCCCAGCAGAATTTTACACAAGTACCGGGTATGGGCTCTCAAGCTCTCTTCGTGCCTGAGAAATTTCCTGCACTAACAGATCGAATTCTAAGTTGACCTTTTTTCCCTACGACGCATGCTGGTGGGCCGAAATGGAGTGCTGAGGACCCAATAAAGTAAGCATGCCTTGTAGACAACATTGCCTTAGCAGCAAAGTTGCCTGACAACATTGCCTTTGCAGCTCTCGAAAAGGATCAATGAGATTACAGAAGTTTGAAAAATTTCGCAAATGTTTGGGAACTTTCACTACAACCTAATAATTATTCAGCAATGTGCATTCTACGTAGAGCAAAAAAATTTCCTTTCAAGCATTGTGTTTACGCAGAAGTTGATACTAGCACTTGCCCACGAATCACATCAAGCGCAGTTTGTGCTTTACTGACTATCATGCAAAGTGCGCGGTTCACCGGGACTAGGAAGCATGCCATAGGCGTTTAGAAGACTATCGTTCGAAAAGCAGAAGTGTCTTGAGTTGATACGTAAAACAACGTTGCTTATTCTGTACGCTGAGACGAGGTGTAGTCTCTAAGGGCCGCATGTGACATCCCCGCTGGGCAGGGCATCGCAGCTTTAGAAAAGCTTCTTATCCTGAAAGACCAGATATATAGATTTGTTTACCCATTCGTAAATATTCCCATTATCCTTCACTAAGAATATATTGGACGGAAGCAAGAAGCTCTACAAGCTGCATTTTCCAGCTTTTTGTATAATCCCCGGATGATCCCCCGCGGCCGAACGTTTTTTCTTGAAAGTCCTTTTACCTTCTTCGAAGTTAACGAAAACCTTCCAAAGTTGTTCTGATTATCTAACCCAACTGCTAAGCAGTTGCTGATAAGAACTAATGAGTTTTGGAATATCGAGTTTCTCGATAAACCCCAACTTTCGACTCGTGGTGCATCGCAAATTTCATGACTTCGAAACATCATTTGTACTCACCAGAAACATGATTTGCACTGTTGGGTTAGACAGTCGGTACAACTTTGAAATGTTTCCGTTAACTTTTAAGAAAGAAAAATGACTTCGAGAGGTGATCATACAAAAAAGTGGAAAATGCGGCTTGTACAACTTCTCGCTTCTGCTCAATATATTCATTGAAGGATGATGGGAGTAAATACTGATAGGTAGACAGCGTGAAATCCAGATATCTGAAACTTCAAGATATGAAGCTTTCCTTTAAGCTGCGACCCTTCCCGGTGGGGATGTCAATGCATGCGATCCTGAGTCGCGAGCTTATCGAGAGCCCTCTATCTGTGTATACAATTGCTGTTTTCAATCTTGTAGTTAGTTTCAATCCTTTCGAAATTTATAGAGATACAAAAATCAAAACTATGAGAAACTTCAAAAACAAAAGACCTAAACCTCCTTAATTGGGTCTGTAGCTACATAACGAGAGATGTGCGCGGATCGTTACTGTTACGAATCTTTTTCCAGAAAACCTCAGAGCATATCCTCTTCGATTTGAGTTTGATGTAAACTAGCTGGTATTCCTAGCCTTACCTGGGCACTGTCTCAGTTAATGCATGCTGCGTTGCAAACTTGGAGCACGGTCACCTGCTACAGACTTGTGCCGCCGCATCCCTTACTGCGAAGTAAGAATGGACCCTCCCGCCAATGTTTATGCTAAAGAGTTTGGTAGCAAATGAAAAGAATTCATTTGCAAAGTGCTAAAAATTAGTAAAGCAAAAGAATGACCCAACAAATCGCCGCAAAAAGTAGCCTATCATCTGCGCAGGGATCGAAAACATATGTGTGCAAACTTTCAGCTGCGGTTGCGCGGCGTGCGTTTCTATAACGCATATGCCCTCCAAATTGACAATTTTCGAGTTTATTAATAAGAGATAATTCGTAGGTAGTTGAGATTGGTAAACGCACAGTCTTCACGCGATTTGCCAACCTATCAACCACTCACAACTTCGTAGCCTAGCTTCTGTAAGTTATTGTAAACTTACTGAGATTTGACTAAGCAAAAACCGCTCATGACTGCTCAACAAATGTTAATTTACCAATTGCGCATGAATGGGTAGCGCGAAGATGCACATGGCCAGAATTTTCATACAGGCAGCAAAACTACAAACAGATAAAATTGCAAGACTGTAACATTTCTGATTAAAGGAACGTTCCTGCGCAGGTAACTCGGCACCAAAAAACAGATGAGCGATATTTCGCATTTTATTCACAGGTTGTTATGTAAGCATTAGCCGTTTTTGCGGCCAAAAAGCAGCACCCTATCGGAGAAAAACTGAATGAGAATGGAGTCAAAAGCGATTGTGTGAGGAGTGGTCATGTAGCGCTACTCAGTGAATATGAAGGGGATACAAGGGATTCTTGACTAACAACAAGCTTCTGCAAGTTATGTGAGTCAAAATATGGCTTTTGGCGGCTCTATAAGTTACAGTGATTTTTTGGAGTAGCTTTGTCTAGTTTCCACTGTATCTAACGAGCTGGTTAGCGTATGTGACTGGCATCATTCAAGACTAGAAACACACTACAAATTAGCCGCATTCATTTGCATTTGATGGTCTTCACGAGAAAAATTGGAAGAACATTGAACAACCAACATTTCAAACCGTATTAGCTCAACATTTGATTCTAGTCAACTCCGCCAGTCTTAGCTTTTACTATACGCGTAAATGATTATCATGTAAAATGTGTTCAAGATATTACGAGCGTCAGTCAGTTAAAGTGTCTTTTACACAGAGTTTTATGCTTTATTTTTAAAAGGCAAATTGATATCTTCATTAACTATAGAAAGACTTCGGCAGATCACATGACTCTGAAAATAGCTACTTCAGTCATATTATACTAACAACTTTACATGCTTATTGAAGGTAGTATGAGCTCTTGAAAAACCTTTTAAGAGCTGATGTAGGTGATATGATTGGAATTGGATAAAAAACAGTGGTTGAAGTGAACTAGAGTTTACAGAGCTCATTGGAAAATTTGCGTCATTGTGAAGGACATACTTCAAGAGTTTTTTAATCTCAAGATACAATGGCTCAGACAATAAACCAGATGCTCCTTTGTCTTTGTAGAGCATTATGTGATGTGTCAGCAATATCTTGTATATGCCAGACAGTATATACCTTACGTCTGATAATATCGTCTTCATCAGAAGTGTGAAGGATTGCAAGTTTGACTTGCTTACGATATAGCGCTTCCTCCCATTTTGTCAGGCTAGTCTATATTAGCGAAACGTGTAGGGAACGATACTAAGTGTCCATGGCCTTTTAAGATGAAATGTACACCATTACACTTGTCTTCGAACGCCGAATTTGTCACATGTTAACATGCATTCAATTTCCGTTCATTTTCATTTTTATAGGCACCTTTTGGAATAAATGTAGGAAACACTCATATAAAAATGACTCCTCATTAAGTTTTCAGTGAGTAAGGACATGCATCTACTTCGAGGAAATCTAACTCTCAAAAGAAGTTTGATTGAGGCAATGCAAAACTGAGAATTACAAAAGGATCTGAACCTGCAGTGTGTCTGCACCTGCATCAGCTTGTGACGCTATCGCAATAGGCACTACTTCACAGCTACCGGCGGTATGGTGTTCCTATCATATCTCGAGCGGCTAAATTTTGCGCGAAAATCCTTCATAACTTCTTTCAGAGAAACGATTAGCAGAAACGGAAATCAGATTCGGAATCAGCGTTTGAAGACAAGTGTACGCATTTCATTTCAAAAGGCCACGGACACTAAGTATCGTTCCCTTGTAAGTGTAAGAAGCATTTAGCCAACAAAAGACGAGGGACTTCAGATCATTTCGAGACGGCACAAGGCTGAGACACACTGCTAAAATTATCAAAAAATGAAACACGTTCCTAGCATGACTGAGATTTGCGATCCGCGAAATTTTTTAGACCGCTTGAATTGAGTCAGAAATCTATACTAAATGCAAAATTGAGTGCTCGTATATCAGTAGTGACTTGTCTCCATCTACATCATGTGGTTGCTGCCAATAAAAGCCTTTGACCCAATGAATGACATAAAATGACATCAGCTGCGTTCAGATATGCATGCTTGCCGTTAGCCTATAGAGGTTGAGGTTTATTCGTTTCCTGGCACCGAGGGTCTCATGCTGCAAGCCTTAAAAGAGAGGACGAAGAGAAGAGAGGATACTTTTTGACCGTGGCCATTCGTTATGATTTGTATATCAGAAAATGCTCCTTTTAATGCTGGTTCGAATACTGTCTTTCATATCTGCGAGACGATAAGCTAGATGGAGTTATAATTATTTTTTCATGAATAAATTGCGTTACTGCGGAGGGTCAAAATCATCAATAAAATTTTCTTTACTTTCCAAAATTTTCTTTAAAATTTTCTTTACTTTCTGATTATGATTTGGATAGGTATAATACAACAGTGTTCCTTTCAAGATTTTCCTCAATACTTCAAACGGTAACCTAGAATTTTGGTGATTTTAACTACCCAAAAGTATGCAAGTTTTCTACGGAAAAAGTTATAACTTCCTTCAGAAGATCGCTTCGCAGATATCGAGCACAGGTTTAATCAGCGTTTCGAGGTGCATCTTAGGTTCACTCCAAATGGCTACGGTCACCAAGTATCCTTTCCTTGTTAGACTAGGTCCAGACTGGATAAGAGGAAGCTCTTGAAAGTATGCTGAGCAAGTCAAAGAGCCTACAATCCTTTTTCATGCCTCTAATGAAGACGACATTGGCGAAACGTAAGGTCAATAAATTTTCCAGCGCATTAAGCTAAGACGCATTTGCAGAAATCTCTCCACAAAACGAGGTGTGGTGAATCTCATTCTAGCTGTCTGTACAAAACTAACCTTGAGTGACTGCCTCTATTCGGCCTAAAAACTTTACTGCGGTTATCTTGGCTATGGGAAGTGTTAGATGGGGTTGAAGTAGTTGTATTTGCATTGGTGGTGAGTGATCTGAAACAGCAGAAGGAGTGTGAGCGTACAAGCCATTAAGTATCATTCCTGAAGAATTTCAATGATTTTGGTGATGAGATGATTTTGGAGGGTATAAGTGAGAACTTCCTAAATAATCTGAGGGCGAGACAAGCAAGAAATGTAGGCTTTTGTAAGCGCTCTCAGTTCAAATGAAAATTATAAAAACGTAATTTTCTTCTTGTTCTGCGACACCTTTTTGAGTTCTGATTTTCATTTCATTTCATTTCTTCATTTTATGTTGTTTGCTGTCCATTAATTTGTATTTGCATTTGAACAAAAAGATGTATAAATGTTTCGTCTTGGTTGTTTCTCTATCGCACTGCTAACTCGAGTTTTGTTATTTCAGAATCAGCAAGAAAATTTGACAAGGCGCTCGATCCTTGATCACAGCACAAGCTTTTCATCTATTTGCCTATCTATTTTCTGAATTATATTTCTCTGAATTACACAAAAAAATGTGATAGATACACTCCAGCTTTTGAAAGAAATTAACTTGTCTTTTCAAAATTTACTGGTCTATTCTCATGTTGAACCGCAGCGATATCGATTCAATGATGCCCTCATCAGTCAAAGGTCAATCGAATACCTTTACAGTAACCAAAGTGCGTGCCCTGCAGTCGCGGACCTACCCTCGCTATGTTCAGCTTTTGTTTTTCATTCTTTTCAATGGTTTTCCCTTTAATACACTGATAGGTGTTGGACTACTCAAAGGAACTTTTTCGAGTAGGTGTCAAGCATAAAATCATTCAATCAAAGCAAATGCTAACTGGGTTTGATGCGGATGCACGCCGCATAGTTCAAATACAGTGGGGTTTTGATAAAACAAAAAAACGAGGGGGACCGAGTGGGGCCGTTTTATCGTCTTACGCATTGTTAACTAAATTTCAACATCGGATTCGCGCATACTCAGAAGCAGTCTCAGCAACAGTAGAAATGACTAACTTGTAGGGGAGATGTTCACAAGTCTTGCTGAATATGTCGTAAGCGAAATCGATTTCGAAAGTGTAAGAACGGACCAAATAAGCGCCCATAAAATCTTGCTACCCTCAGTTGTCTGGAAATGCACGACGCTACTTCTTTCAATTTATCGATCTTGGAGGCCACTTTAACATCTAAGGAACCCAAGAAAACGTGTACATACAGCAGTTAGAAAGATGACTCCATAACCTATGCTAATTCCCGGTTCCAGGTACGCGTGAAGTTAGTAGGTGTGGACTAATATTCACAAAAATTTAGGTGCCGTTATAGAATACAAAGAAATCAACCTCGTAGACTGCTCTGATATCGATTCGATCGTCTCCAAATTCGACAGTCCTGTAGAGATTGGAGTGCCAATACTCATGTTTTCAAATTCTAAAATGACTGTTACCGTTCCAAGAGCACATTCACTTTACTTACCTATTCTAGACTCGTTAACGGCTCTTGAGAGGTCTGGAGATTGGCAAGTGAACTCCTCGAATGCTAGATCCGGATAAAGGCGAACGCAAGTAACACTATTCTCCCCAATCGTACGATGCCTTCAGTGAGACAGGTCAGGAGGTTTTTGTTGCTTTCGAAGCTTACTTTCCAAAATATGCTGATTCGAAGACCTCCCACTCCACTTTTGGTTCGCTTATCACTTTTAAGAAAAAGTCAAATATGCTTTTCATGCAATAATCCGTTCTAGAACAAAAAGTCATTCAAAATGTGTTGGTTAGTCACCAATTATGCATGGCTACGATGTTGAACATTGTTTGAAATCTTAATTCGACTCAAAATTTAGTTGAGCAATCGTAATTATGCCAATATCAAATAAAAATGCGCTATCAAAGATGTCCCGCCTTTCATTTATTGCTCATAGTGAGCAATGCAACAGATCTTTGATGTGCTCAGACAGCGGATCGGACCCCTCCGGCGGAGAAATGGCAGGGCCGCGGGGTTTCCCCAGCGGGGTGTCTGCCACTCATGCTCCGGAGCCCTCCCATGTCTGCTCCGGAGACCTCCCATTTCTGTTCCGGAGCCCCCCGATTTTGTGCGCCGGAGACCTCCCATTTCTGCTCCGGAGCCCCCCGATTTTGTGCGCCGGAGCCCCCCGATTTTGTGCGTCGGACCCCTCCCATTTTGTGCGCCGCGGCTCTTCCAAATCTGGCGGACTCGCGGCGGGCAAATTTCTCCGGCGCGGCTCTGCCAAATCCGGCGTACCTCCGGAGCAGAAATGGCGTACCTTTGCAGCAGATCCGGAGAAGGGTCCCACTCGCCTGCCGGTGATGTCACCGCGACCTACAAGAAGGGACCGCCCAATCGCCCCGCTCTCATTGGTCAACTGGGTCCGGCGCGACTCTGGCAGATTTCGACTGTGCGGCGGAGGGGTCCGATCGATTGTCTGAGTGGGAAAAATCAAAATTTGCAGTACAGATATGTTTCAAACTAATATTCTTTCAACTCAATTTGCAGTACAGATGTGTTCAAAGTTAGCATTTTCAAGTTAATCGTGCAAAACAAGTCCAGGGGAATATTTATTAATCGCCTGTTTGGTTGAGTGTTCCGGTACAGTCAATATCAATTATGTACTCCTTTTCGCATTAGAACTTCGCATGCGCAACGCGGGCACCGCGTGCGGACCTCGAATCGATGAGGCCATTTTGAATGCCCGAGCCATGCGCGCGCGAACGTGGAGCGGAGCTCATTGCGCTTACGGAGAAGGGAGCACGTGATTGACACGGACTGTACACGTTCAGCCACACGCGGGCACACTCCCGCAATGCGCGAACGTGAGCGCCTGATTGTGCAAGGGCCTGGGTGTAGGGCGTTAGGCGACAACCCCAATTTTTTAGACCTTAATAAACTCCCTGTGCAAAACGTTTCCGGCGCCAAAAACAGGGGAGTGGGGGTCGGGGCCGATACATTACTCGACGCAATTGAAAAAATGGCGCATAATTTTGAGTTACGGGCTTTACGCTGCTTGCGTTTTGCACATTTTCTCGCCTAACGCTTGCCCTCCCAAGGGCTTCACAACAGGAGAGTGATTCTGCAAAGTGGGCTAATTTACCCGGTCTCGCTTGACTATAGATCATATGAAGTAGTGCGTTTTTTGATAAGTGCTCGAAAGTATTAGTAAATCAAACAACTTGACATCAATGAATGAGTAAGACCTGACAATTACTTTGCTGCGAGAGAGATTTTTTGAACTAATATTTGATTTTTAATTTTGAGATCCGCAAGAGATTAAGAGTCCGAATTGGAAAAGGCCCTGAATCTCGTGCTAACTTCAATTTGAATCAAAACACAGGTCACAAAAGTCTCTCCCTTGTAACAAAACAATTATCAAATCTTCCTCCTTGATTAATCAATGAATCTTTCGATTTACTAACATTTTCGAGCACCTAATCAAAGCAGGTATTGCTGAACTAGCCATTTCCGCCTAACCAGGCTTTTGCATGGGATGCCCACGTTGGAGCACCGCGGGAGTAGAGCGCAGGCGTGTGATCAGGTTCAAGAAATGGGAACACTTACCGGGAAGCAGGATTGTTACAAACCGCCCCAGATTTGTAATTAAAATTGTCAATCGAAAGGGTGTGGAAATTGGACTTACTCGCAAGGATTGCGTTGCCTTGCAAGATCTACCATACAAGCAATGGAACGATATCCACAGGACCACGTATCGGTCTGGAAAAAATTGTTTATGCTGCTGAAGAGTCTCCAAACGGGTTATTCTGCTGAGAGTTCGTGGTTATCTCAGCAAAAATTCCTTGATATAAAAAGCGACCTTTTCTACAATGCAAAAGTCGTGATTTCTTTCAAGTTCAACGAGTCTATGTGGTAAAATATGCAGTTTTTGCAAACAATGTTACCTGTCTGTCATAACTTCGCGCAATTGCCAACTGAACTGCGTTGTTTTCGAATATGTGAGAGAATAGTGCGGATATTTGTCGCCTAATTGGTTCTGTTAGCTGAAAATAATATCTATGAAAATGTTTTTTAGTCAAATTATCAAAAACTAATGCTGTGATGGGATCTTTATCATGAATCGCAAACATCATGCTCCATTTTGAACTTCGCTAAGTATAAGACAAGCGGTTCAGAAATGCTCTCTATCTCCGCTTTTGCTGTATCATCCTTCCCAGCCTTACAAGAATCACAAGACTTACCAGACTAGTAATGCTTGTATCTTTTTCGACAAGGGAGTCATATAGAACAATAAATTTTGTTTGCGGGTCATAATCAACAACTACATAATGAACTCTGTCAGAGTCAAAAATAATCTGATGAGCAGGTCGAGTAGCGCTGATCATTGATTTGAGTGACTGAGGCTCTACCTGAAAAGCAATTTGTAATGTCACACAGTCAGTTTGTAGTCACGCTTGTGTTATCTATTCTCCATGATATGCACCCTAATAGTGTACGCTTTATTATCTCGTCGGCGCATGTATTTCATAGGAGTGAGTTCATCGTCCACTTCACCTCATTGTGTCAGAAAGATCCAAAAATTATCCTCTACTTATGAAGCTGTGCAGGTAACTTGTTTACGTTCGTAATGCGTAATAATTCTCCAAATCTTACACAAAGTTTGACAGCTTTGTGAAAAAAACGAAAAACATCCTGATGCGAATCCTTCTCCCAACAAAGTTTAATCGGAAAGATCTTTGAAAATTTTCGGGACCCTTAGTAGCTTATACCTATTTAGTTGCGTCGCGTGGTATTTTGCCAGATGTCTTCATACCCACTATTAGCAGATTTCAAATGCACGATGCACAACTTTTGCAATTTGACAAGCCTCATAATTTTCATGTTCAGAAACTCAGAATTAAATTATTTGAGCCATTGCCGGATCCGGAACAACCGAAGAATAATTAAGCATCCATTATTTCTTCTCTTCAGTCTATTAAGATATCATAGCGACATATGCTGACTTGTTCACCATATGATATGTAGTTTTTGCGACGGATTTGCTTGGAAACCTGCTAGCAGTGGGCTCCATACTTGGAATTGATGAGTTTTTTTTTGTGAAGGCGCCAAAAAGGAGTGACCTCGTGCGCTTCAGCATGTCAGAGTTATAGGTCTTAAGTGATTTGCTCCCGCAATAGGCGTTTTATTTCCTCGGCCCAAAGACAAATACGGCCTCACTAAGCGAAAATGGCCCGCCGCAGAACGGTCAAATAAGCGAATAATCTCACCATGACAAATTGAATAGCAAGGCATCCATCTAATTTACGGGGGCATGCGGCCTGTAAACGGTCACAGAAGGTGTTCATCAAATCATCAAGAAGACGATCCCCAAATCGGACCTGAATCAGATCTCAAACACAGTCCCAGTTTTCGCATAAAATTATGTCTGTTTGTGTTGCATGTCAGCAAAGCTTCTTTTTTTTCGTACATCATTCCTTCATATTCAAACAGTAATTTACCTCTCCATTATCCGTAGTGGTTGATAGTCTAGCTGCTTCCGAGTCGTTATTACTTGAGTTGCTTAGATTACTTTCAGAACGGCTTTCTTTGCCGCTGCAATAAATGTTATAACCTTAATTCAGCAACGCATTATACAGCACCAAGATCAACATGATTCGAGTCTGACCATCCAGGGATCGCATTGATCCGTTCACTTGAGTATTTTTGCAATTAAACGGCGCTATCAAAGATGAGAATCGTAACAGCTCAGAGTAAGCGCACTCCAAATTTGAAAAGAACGAGAGTAGTCATGAGGGTGTGTATGGTTTCTGGTTGCTGCATGAAGAACTGTATATTATAATTTACTAGCTGGCTTACCCGGCTCCGCCGTATCCGGACCAAACTTGGCACACATACACTTCGGGCCCCGGCGGGTGTCACAGTCCACTTTTCGTTATCGATCGATGTCGATTTTACCGATTTTTATCGATTTTTTTTTGCAGAGTTCACCTACAGGGCTAGGAATTGGCACAGGGGGGGGGGGGGAAGTGAGCATGGGGATTCCGAATACAACATTAGTTTTCAGGATCGTCCATTACTTTTATCGATTTTGTCGATTTTTTTTGTAAAGTTTGACCTGCGGGGCTGGGAGTTTGCACAGGGGGGTAATCGAGCATGCTGATTACGAACACAATATTAGTTTTCAGGATCGTCCATTACTTTTATCGATTTTATCGATTTTTTTGTAAAGTTTGACCTGCGGGGCTGGGAGTTTGCACAGGGGGATAATCGAGCATGCAGATTACGAACACAATATTAGTTTTCAGGATCGTCCATTACTTTTTCGATTTTATCGATTTTTTGAAAATTTGAGCTAGGGGGCTGGAATTTAGCAGGGGTGTAATCGAGCATGCTGATCACCCCCCTTGGGGGTGATCAGCATGCTCGATTACCCCCCTGTGCGAACTCCCAGCCCCGTAGCTCAAACTTTGCAAAAAAATCGATAAAATCGATAAAAGTAATCGATAATCCTGAAAACCAATATTGTATTCGGAATCCCCATGCTCGATTACCCCCTGTGCGAACTCCCAGCCCCGTAGCTCAAACTTTGCAAAAAAATCGATAAAATCGATAAAAGTAATCGATAATCCTGAAAACCAATATTGTATTCGGAATCCCCATGCTCGATTACCCCCCTGTGCCAACTCCCAGCCCCGTAGGTGAACTCAGCAAAAAAATCGATAAAAATCGATAAAATCGATATCGATCGATGACGAAAAGTAGCCTATGACACCCGCCGGGGCCCGAAGTGTATGTGTGCCAAGTTTGGTCCGGATCGGTTCAGAAATGGAATTTTCTATTCGGAACATACGTACACACATACAGACAGACAGACAGACATACAAACAGACATTCAGCTTTATATATAAGATAACCTTCGATTGACATTTGCCAATGCATCGTAAACTTTCTACTACTAAAACAAAAAAGGTTACTTTGGCCTGCGAGTTTTTCAATCCTAGAGAACTAGCTTCGCAGACGATTTTTCAAAATTTTGAGACTCTCTACATCATTCAAAAAAGGAGCGAGCATCCTATTTCCATTTGTACAACTTGGTTGAGCGCGTTTTTTTAACATCTCGACGATCGCTCAGGATAGGCGATTCCGCTCGCAAAATCGTAGAGAAATGAAAATGCTCTTTTTCGTGGCGCTTGTTGATCACTTTCTCGTCTTTTCTGCAGTTCCTGCAGTGCTTCTTTTTTGTCGAAATGAAAAATCAACGAACGGCTTTATGAAATCTCGTAACCGCTTTCTAGTGAGAACAGTCATTATTTTTCGGATGCCTCCTGCCCCGGTAGTCGTCTGAGACCGTGCTGCGATGGCGTTTAGTTGCATTTTTTGAATTGTGAAGAAGCGAGGGCCAAAGTAGCTGTCTTGGTAGTTGAGAGGTTTTTTCTTTGCAGTTGACAAAGTCCTCTCGTAAACTAGAAGACTCTCAATACCTTTGTAGCAAGCTCGCTCTTGCAATGAACCTTGAATCAAATTTTCCATTCGAGACTGGTTTTTAAACTAAAATTTCGGAATGGAAACTCTAGCTGTCGTCTATGCCATTAAAAGATGAGTGGCACCTCTATTGATAAGGCCTTATTGATAGACAAAATCGACAAATTTTTCTGCTAGTGTCTGATACCGTAATACTAAGCGCTGAAAGTTCAAATATTTTCTGGAACTCACGAAATCACCTTTACTTGACGAGACCAATGAGAAAGTAGGCGTTTGCAATTTGGAAAGATTGTTGCTCAGGTCACAGTAAAGGGCCCTTGAAGGTTCACTGAGCAATGAAGAACTCGTAAAAATTGAGACAAGCTTTGCGTATAATGACTTATGGGCTTACTGTTCACCATACCCTTTTTGAGCAAACTTAAACTAAAGAAGTTTTTCATCGAAAATATCTGGCGGTGATATTTTTATTCTGTGCACCATATGTTGAATACTGCTAGATAAATCAGCAATACTAGGCCCTGCATTACTAGATACGCCAAAGGACCGCCTAAGCGGACTTATCTACATATAGCATATAGATAACAAGCAATCATGCAGCGTTTATCGCATACCACATTGCGCAGATTACCAAAAAACGAAAAAAACTTGATTTTCTCCCCTCCCCCTTTTTTAGATACTAAACGATTACCTTTTCCCATTTCCGCAAACTTCCGTTAGTAAAGACATTGCAAGGCAACTGTGAGCAAATCTGAAAACTTTGCTTCAAAAGCAGGTAATTCAAAAAAGCCAGCTTATCAATGTTCATAAATGCTGTAAACGAAAAAACACCAAGTTGTGATTAGTTAGTCTTTGTTAGCAATGAGCAAGCAAATATTATACAGTGTTGGCCTTCATCAAGTCCTTAATTATAAAGACACTCTAATAACTGTCGATTTGTGTTCTTGTTGACGAACCCGTCTGACTTTGCTGTTTAGTGCCCATGTTATCCTACCATGATCCCTCAAAACGGCTTCCACTTTTGTTGAGTCTAAATGGAGAGACTTAGAAAAATTCGAAAAACCCCTACCAAAAGCTTGACAAAATTATAAAGACACCTGAGTTTTTTGCACGCCATCGCATCCCCTGACTTTAAAATTTCTCTTTGTACAGTTACATACTAAAATATGAAACATCTGCAGCATATGCGATCTGTCATCCTTTTCAAAGAGAAATGTTCAATGCATTATTTGCTTCCAAAAGCACCAAAGTCAATCTGCTTCAACAAACAGCTGGTTTGAACAGTTTTCAAATTCTTGTTCATCCCAGATGATAGTCATGGTGTCCCTTGAGCCTTTTCGATAAACGAATTCAAGAGCGCTCTTGTAAACTCTGCATGATCGCTGATATTGACAGACAGACTCCAACCTTAACATAAGTTTGTCACGTTTTCAAACCACACAACTCAATTTTCAAGCCACAAAGAGTACGTTATTGTAGCCATTAGTCGGTTGTACAACAGTAAACTTGTATGCATTGTTGTGAAAGTATTCGAAGTTAGCATAATGGTTCAGCAGTTGTCATCCAGTGAATGTTGAGTTGAGCACCCTGCACAATCATAGCCAACATAGATTACGAGATAGAACGCTCAGGACTTTAAAACCTTAACTATTCTCATTCTTTGGGTAGAATCTGACATGAAACAGAGAGGAAAATAGTGAGATTCATGATAATCTCGAATCCATTTCTCGCAAAGAGTTTTCGTGGAAAGTATTTCAGGTATAAATAGCGACCGCATCATTAAGGAAAATCTGAAAGCTATTGCGAAAGCTGTATTACCATGTAGGCAATGTAATAAATCAAGTTCAGCATATGGACATTGCAAACTGAGTTTTGTTGTTGAAAAGCGTGGCAAGCCTATGTTGAGGTTGGGGTCTGTCCATCGATATCAGCGATCACGCAAGGTTTACGAGAGCGCTCTTCAACTCATTTATCGAAAAGGCTCAGTGAATTCCATAGCTATCATCTAAGATGAACAAGCGCTTAACTCTTCAAACCAGCTGTTTGTTGAAGCAGATTTTTTGGTGCTTTTGGAAGCAAAAAATGCATTGAACATTTCTCTTTGAGAAGCGTGACAGGTGACATATGTTGCAAATGTTTCATATTTTAGTAAGTAACTGTACAAAAAAAATTCAAAGTCAGGGGATGCGATAGGTTCAAGAATTCCAGGTGTCTTCATAATTTTGTCCAGCTTTCGGTAGGGGTTTTTCGGATTTTTCTAAGTTTTTCCATTCACACTCAACAAAATTGTAAGCCGTTTTGAGAGATCATGATAGGGTAACATGCGCACTGAACAGCAAAGTTTCAGACAGATTCGTCAACAAAACGCAAATTACGACAGTTTCTAGAGTGTCTTTGTGATTATGGCCAGCACTGTAAATTACTATACCAGTGCTTCACCTCTGCTTCACCTTCGCAGAGGCTCGCACTGGCTCTTAGGCCCCACTCGTTTTCGCATAATGGTGGCATTGAAACTTACCAAGCAATGGAGTATCATGAACAAAATGTAAACAATTACTCATTCCGAAAGCTTTTTCACGTGAAATCGGCCATTTCGCATGGATGAAACTTTTGGCAGGAGAACAAACGCAAATTTTTATGGTTTTTGATTCTCATATGTCTTGGCAGTTGCCTTAAGAACAGTAGTCGCCGTGAGCTACATTTTTGTGCAAAAATCTCGTCAAATGCTCTGGTAAAACCTTGGCAAATTGACCATTTACGCAACCAATACTTTTTGGCGCGGTTTTTGTAAAATAGTGGACTTTTGATCACTTTTTTAGGCCTAAGTTCATGGCTCGCACATTTACTTGCCATACACATCCATGACCATGCAAAAAATGGAATTACGGACCCAACTTTGCGGCCAGAAGCGAAGTGGATTTGTTTGGCGAGCAATTTCTGAGAGACCCACTCAACCAATCTGCTTGTGCTTTGCATGTTGGACTTTCATGCCAGTAGCAAGTGCTATGCAAAATTTGAGCTCAAGACGTTGGCTGGAACACGCTCTACGAATTTCGGGACAGACAAACATTCAGAAAGACGCGCACATAACAACACGTAAACAGCGCGTTATTATAGTAATTACAAATACTATCATTCTTCGTATCGTATCCATATCTACTACGTCTGTGATTAGTTATGTAAGGGACTGACTGAGGACGCGACGTCGGTAATACAGTCTTTGTCAACACGCAGTAGGCGAAACATTTCAAGCAGAGCAGCGCGTCCGGACCGTCAGTGGCTCTGCGAGACAGATTAGAACGAAGAGACGCAGACTGCAAAACGGCGCGAATCGTTACGAAGCGGACTCCCGCCGGTCCGATTTCCGCCTAAATTGGGTTGAAACTTACTACACGTTCCCTCACATCTTGGTTCAAGTAATCCATTACGAAACTTTGGAGGTGTTGGCTTTCTCTTCTATGAGGCCATCACTTCAACTAATCTTCCTATGTGCACTATTCAACTTTTAAAAGCCAATTCCAACAGCTGATTCAAAATTGAATGCAAAGAGGAGAAGGTTCCTTGCAACAAAAAGTTTTTCTACAGATATGATGTTAGCAATTCTACGCCAAATTTGGGGTGTTTATACGTGTTTGCGTCACGCTTTTGCGAAAGCATCTCATAAAGGCGGCGGGTTCTCACGCGAAAGCCTGCAGGCCCATGCAAACCGTACGTCGTACAGGTTGCAAATAGGTTCAAAACGTACTTTTCCCTCAAATAAACCATTCCAGCTAGATTCCGTCCTCCTTTCAAAGTCTCCTGGTCTTGAACGCCGCCTCCAAAAAGTACAAACTGACTTCGAGGCTTCACTTTTTAGCCCAGATTATAACAGATTATTCTGTTAGTCTAACAAGGCTATTCTTCCGCATGTACTAGCTACGACATTTGTGACTTTGAACTCTCGCTGCTGATGCCTCGAAGGCAGAGCTTCTACTTTTACCTTTATCAGAGTCAAATTTAGAACACTACGGAAAGAGCAACTATGTTACAGTCCTGCTGCAGAGATTTGACATGCATGCAAATGCAGAGTTTTTCAACAAAGCTACATGTGATTAGTATTCCAGGCGTACGACGAGCCATGCATTTGCACATGGCAACGCAAAAGTCTATAGTCTCATTACTGCGTTCGAACATGCGCTACCACTAGCTACCAGTGGCGCACCCAGGATTTTGGCTCGGAGGGGGGGGGTGGAGAGGCGACAAAAAAAATTTTCTAAAGAAGATGCGTGGCGTTAGCCAAGCACTCCGAAAAGATTTTTGGGGTGCTTCTCAAAATTTTTGCGCTCCCCGCCACCCCTAAATTGTGGAAAAAGGGAGCGTGGCATCAGCCATGCCCCGGAAGAAAATTTTTGTAAGGTTAAAATAAACTTTTTTTAATTTTAAAAATTATTTTAATTATTTACAAGTGCTGTGCATGCCCGTTTCGATGAGAGTTCCATATGCAACTGTAACATATCGTGGGTGAGTACATGATCAAGCTGACAGTCTCAAGGGCTGTCAGTCTCAATGAAGACCATGATTTGTTAATGTTAAACAGATGTAATGAAACAAATGAGAGGTTAGAATATAATTGCCAAGATACAAAATTTTATGACAATTATTGTTTCTGTTTTTACACTATCCGGTTTCGGGGCTAAGAACTATACCTAAGTGCAATAAGGCTGAGTAAGAAATCCGTTTTTAGACCTCAAAATACCCCCTCTAAAAGCCAGCGAGTTAATGATTCATCTACGTCTGGAAAAGTCCCCAAACCCTTCGCCCGTGCGCCGTGCGCAAGTGACTTATATAGAAGGGGTTCCAGCGCGAACGTGGTGCTAATGTGAGCGAGGTCATTTTTGGGTTACTGTCAGTGCAGAAGGGAGGGTTTGGGACGAATTTCTCAGCCGTGAATGAATTATTTGGGCTCCCGCTTGGGCAGTGCCTTAGTTAGGGCCCTCATCAGTTTGCAGGCGAGAAACCCATAGCCTGGATTTGTTTGGACAGTTGCTTTGAGGGCGGAAGCTTTCTTAGCTGAGTAGGCTGGTTGCGAGCTAGGCAACCAAAAGGATTAAACAAAACTAAAAAGAACAGTCACCATGAAGACATATATAATAGTGAGAGTGGTGGTCACAATAACGTTTGAAATGTAGCCAGCTTGCTGCAGTATGCGATAATGTTTCAACCACTATACTAGTGATTACGATGCAGCAAGAGTATATGGACTTTTTAATGGTGGGATTGATTCAGCAGATGCAGTAGCTGGATGGTGGGGTTTACTTAGCAGTTATGCAACTATTCGTCAAGAGAATTAAGCAATGACAGTAAGACAGACCAGTCTATCTTAAAGGAAACTTTGAAAGAACTATGTTTAACTACTTTGATCAACAGTTGCTGTTTCAGTTCTCCTTAACTTTGAAGGCGGCACTGCTTGCTGATTGAGGAACTCAGGCACTCGCACCGGCCGGTGACCGTCCGACTACCGGCCGGTGGGGGTGGTGTCAATTTCACTCAGCCGCGTAGTCTACGACCACCGGCCGGTATTCGGACGGCCGCCGGCCGGAAAGGTACGGCCGCCAGCCGGTGTATACTGAGGAACGGTAGAACTGTTTTACATGGTAGAACTGTCTTTTATTCACTGGTATATAGGAAAATACACTGAACAAAAATCAAGGCCGCTGATGTAGCAGCTTCGGAGACCACGTCCGATTTTAAAATTCGACAACACCGAGATACTATCGAGGGTTGTCTACAAGACAACATGTTGCCTTGTTCCTGCTTCGGAAATTGAAGAACATACAAGGCATTGAGGGTAGCCTAACCATGCGTCGTATCTCACGCAAGTATCCTTTACGCTAAGACACTGGGAGATAGAATTTTGGGACGGTCGCCGGCCGGCATGATCTTTTGGGACGGTCGCCGGCCGGCATGATCTTTTGGGACGGTCACCGGCCGGCATTTAGCTCCGCCCAGATTTATGGAACGGTCGCCAGCCGGAAGACCGTCGTCGGACGGTCGCCGGCCGGTGCGAGTGTCTGAGAATTTTGGAAAGCAGTCACCGTAACTATTACGCTTCACGATGAAACATTTTGTCGAAGGCCAACACGTTCGTCTCACCGATGGTCAAAAAAATTGGTATAGGATACCGCTTACCCTAGAGTAGGCGGACCACTGCAGACAATTGAACTATCGATAAACCTCCCTTCTAGAGCATAGAGCATTGTTTTTGTACATCTCGCTATCAAAAACCGCCGCGCGTGTACGTCAGCGGTGCTCCGCCTACTCTATCGCAAGCGAGCAAACGATAGTAGGGGCGAAGCGTAAAGGCGCGAAGATCCGGTTTTTCTTAAGTAAGCGACTGAACTTACTTCTTCCAAGGAGACAGTCATTAAGGCAACAATGGAGACAGATGCAGTTGCATGTGATAGTGACACCATTGGTATTAACATCCCTTATATACTGTTAGAATGTGAGCAAAGCCACCTTTTGACAGTACAACAGGAACACGATCGTAAGCACAACAAAATGAAAGTGACCGCGTTAGCATCAAGAAAGATGAGAATCTATGATAAAAGATGCTCCATGCTCGCAGAGTAAAATTTAGGCTCAGTTTTGTGAAACTCAACAATAATGCTGGTTCGATTAAACATTCCCGTACCCTCCGGATGCTTAAGCCATGTCGCCATTTGTTGATTTGATGTTTATTATGTGTCAGCTACCCGGCCATTGTGTGGCCACTACGTGGTCGTTGTGGCTGCTCATTCAGTAATGTTCGAGATGAAGCACAAGGAAACGACGAGCAGGCGGAGAAGCGAAGACTGCCATTTACTGCTTGATGTACAAAAGTTGAATGAAATTGCCGTCAGCTTCAGCGGTTTTGCATCAAGCAGTTGTCATTTCTCCAATATATTCTTGCTGCACCTCAAGCAAAGCATAAAGCAATGTGTATGAGAGAAAAAAGTTCGTAAATTAACATGCTTATACTGGGCTCACAAATTCATAGAAGAGGGTTGCGAACTTTTTCTGATTATAAAAACACCAATGATTCACCTCTGCTTCGTAGAGGCTCGCACTTGTCCTGCTATCTGTATGTTTTACTCATTCCAGCAGTAATGGCATTGAAACTCACCGCGCAAAGCCAACTATCACGGATGATTTGTAAACAGCTACTCATCCCGAAAGCTTTTCTACGTAAAATCAGTTATTTCGCGTAGATGAAACTTTTCGCAGAAGAACGAACGCGAATTTGAACAGGTTTTTGATTTTTTTTTCATGGTTCTGGTAGTCGCCATATGAACAATACAACCGTGAGCTACATTTTTTGCACGATTCTCGTCAAATGCTCTGGTAGAACCTTTCCAAATTGAGAATGGCACTGGCAATCTTTTCGGCGTCTTTTTTGTAAAATAATGGACCTTTGATCACTTTTTTAGGCCAAAGTTCATGGCACACACACACACATACACATACACACATACACACATACACACATACACACACACGCACACGTAAACACCCTTAGTCCGTTATTATGAGCAACCAATGCGTCACCTCCGCTTCGCAGAGGCTCGCACTGGTCTTCCTTCATATGCCTTACTCATTCTTGACTAATGGTGGCAATGAGACTCACCGCGGCCGATTATCGCGATAAAATGTAAACAACTACCCATTTAAAGTGCTTTTTCATGTGAGATCGGTGATTCCGCGTGGATGAAACTTTTCGCAGAAGAAGAAATACAAATTTGAATAGGTTTTTGGACTCTTTCTGGCTTGGTAGCTACCATAAGGACAGTAGGCAACGTGAACTTCATCTCTGTGCAAAATTTTTCTCGAATGCTCAGGTAAAACCTGGCAAATTAATCATTCACGCAACCATTTCTTTTTGGCGTCGTTCTCGTAAAGTAGTGAACTTTTGTCCACTTTTTTGCACTAAAGTCCATGCTTGCACATCAGCATGCCAAGCACACCCCCGACTTTGCAAAGAGTGGTGATACGGAACCAATTTTGCTAGCCAGAACCCAAGTGGTTCCGTTTGACGCGCAGTTTCTGAGGGATCCACCCAACAAAACCACTCGTGCTTTTGCACGGTAGGCTCTTATGTTGGTAGTATGCGATGTGCAGGATTTGGGCTCAGGACGTTGGCTGGAACTCGCTTTACGAATTTCGTTACAGACAGACACACAGAATACATACACACACACAAAAATACGTAAACAACCTTAGCCCGTTATTATAAGTTACTAGCTGGCTTACCCGGCTCCGCCGTATCCGGACCACATACACTTCGGGCCCCGGCGGGTGTCACAGTCCACTTTTCGTTATCGATCGATGTCGATTTTACCGATTTTTATCGATTTTTTTGCAGAGTTCACCTACAGGGCTAGGAGTTGGCACAGGGGAGGAAGTGAGCATGGGGATTCCGAATACAACATTAGTTTTCAGGATCGTCCATTACTTTTTCGATTTTATCGATTTTTTGAAAATTTGAGCTAGGGGGCTGAATTTGGCACAGGAGTGTAATCGAGCATGCTGATCATTCCCCTTGGGGGTGATCAGCATGCTCGATTACCCCCCCTGTGCCAACTCCCAGCCCCCTAGCTCAAACTTTGCAAAAAAAATCGATAAAATCGATAATAGTAATCGATAATCCCGAAAACCAATATTGTATTCGGAATCCCCATGCTCGATTACCCCCCTGTGCGAACTCCCAGCCCCGTAGCTCAAACTTTGCAAAAAAATTGATAAAATCGATAAAAGTAATCGATAATCCTGAAAACCAATATTGTATTCGGAATCCCCATGCTCGATTACCCCCCTGTGCCAACTCCCAGCCCCGTAGCTCAAACTTTGCAAAAAAATCGATAAAATCGATAAAAGTAATCGATAATCCTGAAAACCAATATTGTATTCGGATTCCCCATGCTCGATTACCCCCCTGTGCCAACTCCCAGCCCCGTAGGTGAACTCAGCAAAAAAATCGATAAAAATCGATAAAATCGATATCGATCGATGACGAAAAGTAGCCTATGACACCCGCCGGGGCCCGTAGTGTATGTGTGCCAAGTTTGGTCCGGATCGGTTCAGAAATGGAATTTTCTATTCGGAACATACGTACATACAGACAGACAGACAAACAGACATTCAGCTTTATATATAAGACTAGCGACCCTACCAGGGCCCGGCACAGATCGTTTAGAAGCAAGCTGGACTTCGTTCTTGAAGCAAACAGCAAAGGGGATATCGTTTTTGATGAGTTAGAACCGAGCACCAAAAATAAGCGCCGTTTAGTCGGACACAAGCTTTTCGAACAGGTTATTACACGATTGACATGCTCTATCGTGCATGGCGAAAAGTGCGCGCGATTTGAAAGCAAAGCTCAAATAAACAAATTGCTTATTTATAGCGCACACAGGAGCATATGACACCAAAATTGAACTGCATGTATAGAAAATTATTTGCGAAAGTATTATGTATAAAGATTTGAAAACTTATGTGAAGTAATACCTTTTCCAAAATTAGATCGTCTCCAGACGGCCACCAGACGATCTGAGATCGTCTGGAGCATATATTTTCGTCATTTCACATAAGTTTCGGATCTTTTTAGCATGGACGAATTCCCCGGTCAAAAATCTATCCCTGAGCATGAAGACATTTTCATATCATTACCTTTCCTTTGTTTTTGCCTTCATTTCTTATCGCTTTGTCAAATATCGCGCTCTAATGCCAAAGTCTTATGCATGCGTAGTATTCAGCTCCAATTTGGGTTTTCACTCTTATCTCACGCTTTTTCTTTCAGACTTAAATCTTTCTTGTTTTCATCTTCTCCTAAGCAGGTAGGTCAAAGGGGCTTCGTAAAACTTCCGGAAGTCGGAGGAGACTTTGTTTTCAGAAACCCTAGAAACCGACTCGTGCCGGGCCCTGGACCCTACGGGTCGCTAGCAAGCGGGTAGGGCACACCCATAAATAAACGTCTTTCATACCTATAATTTCCTCAAGTGAAATTTCAATTTATCAGTACATGTATTGCCACAAACGCTCAAAAGTAACATTTTCAGAGATAATTCAATAGGAGGAAAGTGGATCATATCGTGCTAAAATTTTGTCTTGCCCCAGTCATCGCTGTACAGCTTCATTTCGCAATGTCACTCTCGCACTCACGCGTACAATCTGGAAAGAAAAGTCGAATTCACCCAGTGCAAAAGCTCCCAAAAGCGAGATCTTCGAAGATTTTCTCAAAATTTGGCGGAAAAGTGGACCATATCGTGCTAAAGTTTTGTCTTGCCCCAGTCATCGCTGTACAGCTTCCTTTCGCAATGTCACTCTCGCACTCACAATTACAATCTGGAAGGAAAAATCAAATTCACCCAGAGCAAAAGCTCCCATAAGCGAGATCTTCGAAGATTTTCTCAGAATTTGGCGGAAATGTGGAAGCATAGTGAATACTGAGATCGAATGTGAGCGGATCAAATGGTATGTTTCTATAACTAACTTTGCAAACAATGTCCAGCTCGCAATTTCAACACCCTTGGTACGCGCTTGCGTCTTTCAACACACCCATTGCAGCAGCAGAGCGTACCCTGCGTGTCGTGGCCTCTCGTTCGCGCTAGGACCTCTGCGTCCTCTTGACCTCATGGTCTCACCGTCGCGTCTCTACACAATAAGGCCCCGTTCGGGAACTGGCGTCTATTCAAAACACCCGCTGAAGCATACATGTGGGCGGACCATCCTCGCCGTCTCGTTTTTTGGGATCGGGTTTATATTATAGGAGAGGATGATGAAACTTGTTGAACCTCCTCGTTAAGATATTGCTTTTTGTACTCTCTCGCTGTCAAAAACCGCCACGATTTAAACTGGGAAACTCCATTTTTACTGAATCTGGCAGCTCATGCCACTTCATCTTGGTGTGATCCTTATCATTTTTGGTGTAGGTGATGTGGATCAACAACAACGGAAGCTGTTCTGTATTCGTCACATTAAGCTGAAATCGTTTTGCTAAAAGTAAGGGAAATGCTGAGAGCGGAGCCTCGCAAGGTGTCCAAATATTTGCGCATTATCGTAAAAGTACTAGAAACACGATAATGATACTTTAAAGTTTGACTAAAAACTTATTAATTCCTATTAAAGGATCAGAAAAAAATTTTCAGTCCCCACTTCTGGCTACCTAAGAGAGAACTAAATCCCAATCCGACCATAACGGGAAGGCCGTGGGCATACTCCGCACGATTCCAGTCGCCACGCAATCTGACAATTTGCTTGATGTCTTCAAATTCAATAATGGCCGACCCCAAATGCATAGCATGTAAAATTGTATGCTGATAAAATGCCCTATCTTCTGTACATTCACAAACCCTTACGATGAGTTTTGGACAACTAGAGTCTTGCCAAATCGCGTCGCGACTGAAATCGGGTGAGGCCAGGGCCTAAGACCCCGGGCAGAGCTCATGCGATTTCGTCGTGTCGCGTTCTGCTGTTTTGGACAAGTGTTCCACGCTGTTAAGGGTGTGGGTC